ATTCTACTATTTTTGTTTTCCTGTTTGTTCAGTGTTTGGAATTACTAGTGTAAGTAGGGTAAGATGTTTGCATCAGAGTAACTATTGCTCGTCTTTCAGGGAAAGGGATTAAGGCTGAGTTAAAATGCGGCAGGTAGCTGGCCGGCCGGCCGGCCGGTCGGCCGCCTGGAAAGCGATCTTCTTATGTTATGGCGATATGTTATAAGAGGGAACGCTTTCGTCGAGATGCGACGAGGTACCGTAGATCCGTCAGCAGGTGCAACGTGCCACCGTTAGCTGATTCTGCTGCTGCTGCTGCTGTTGTTGTTGTTGTTGTATAAGAAGAGAAGAAAAAAGGAAAAGATAACGAAGAAGGGGTTGGGAGGCGCTAGCAATAGTAGTCTTAGTGCGTGTAGCACTTATAGTATGAAGGATAAGAGGGCTACAGTGGGCAGCACAAAGTAGCAACGGCAGCGTCCACGGCGTCTCAGCTTGGTCAAGCCGCTAACACAATCACTCAGAGGCACCGACACAAACGACTGTACACATATATAGACGCACTTCTGCGCAATCATAAAGCCAAGTTCCGACGAAGAGCTTTCTCGCATGGCCCAGACGCCGCTGCTGTTGCTGTAACCGTTTATATGCGCGCGTCGTGCGTGTCTGCCTGCTGCTTGTTCTTCTGCCTAGCCGCGGCCTCGGTGCAGCTTCTGCTCGGGCCACTGGGTCCCATGGCACAGTTGGTTTCTTCTGTCTTTTTAGTTCGTAGCAATTAATCGTTAGGAACCCTATTTTGTAGCCCGTTATTGCTGATACTGTTGATGTGGCCTTTTTGACGGATAATAATGGTGACCGTTACAGCTAGACCTTACTATCGTCGTCGTTGTCAACGACTTGTCGTCTCTGGTGCGCTGCCGTGTCCGTCCACTCCGACGACGATTACTAGCATTAGCAGTAGAGCACGTGGCATACGTCTCCGAACGCCAGAGCCTGCGGCGCAGTGTTACAGTGCTATGCAATTTCTGCAACACGTTATTGGTACTATGGCAATTAACCTCTAACGCCACAAGCCATCGTCCGCTGTGGCTGCTATGACCTTACTTTCGCAGTCGCCTTAATTAATGTCTGTAGAAAGCCTAATCTAGCTTTGGCCTGTTCACTAGGTCTACGCTACGACTGTATTTGAACTTGAGATTTGTTTCAGATCATGTAGACAGCAAAAATCAAAGTCAATGCTGATAATGTAGTAGGGGTCGTACTACTGATGGTCGTGTTGCTTACGAACATGGCCATATACATAAAGGACATCTGATTATCCATCGGTTCATGGGCCAAACCAGTCGACGCTCGTCTTCCCGGCCCTACACGTATCGTGAATGAATTTCGTGTCGGCGTCGTTAAACGCTGACATCAATATATGCGATGGCGCCTGCGTAGTAATGGTGCCTCAATGTTTCCGTCGGTTGACTGTTGTCTTCGACGTGGTCAGAAGCCACTGGCGTTGTCGTCGTTGTAGAAAAACAGAAAAATCTAGTCTAATACGAAAGACGTCACATGCTGCTAGTTCGGCGTCTACTGCTTGAGACACGCTCTAGATTTTGGCACTTTCAGAATTGTAGAGCAGAGACAAGTTTCAGCTGTTGATTGTAGCGGTGACGCTGATAGCGTTGCCGAGCACGTTGGTGACACGCGTTGTCATTCAATATGTAGTTTTGTAGACGGTACTTTTTTTTTTTATCCTGTTTGCTTGTTTCGCCTACAAGCCATTTGTGCACACACTCGTTGACTCCTATGGCCGCTTCCAAACGTTAATTCGCATTTGATATGGCAGCGCTGCAAACGAAGGACAAACGTCACCTGTCCAGGACACAAACTGGTTAGTTTGTTACTGATTCGCCCGACGCTTCTGCCGCCGTTGACCGATGACTTAAAATACTAATTAGTTGTAGGGATTTCTAGGTGAAGATAGAATTGCTTTAGGCTTTTTTTTTTTTTTTTTTATCTAGCGATTCTCTTGGAGCAGTAGACGTGGAACTGTAACCTATTACTTCCGTACTTTTAAGTAGCATGTATTTCTCATTTCTATATCTGTATGAAAGCTCTTTACATATTATGTAGGTGCTGGGTGCGATGACGCCTTTCTCTGTTTTCGATTAATTTGTGGCTAAGGCCACAGGGATCAATACAGATCACTACAGGTAGCCGCCGCTAAAGGTATTGCAGTTGGCCTATGTTCAAGTTCCAATTCATCTGCCGCTGAGATATGTTAGTGGGATCTGGCCAGCAATCAAACCATCTCAGTACATAAACCTAGCAGGACTTAGATTGCCAAATTGAGTTTATAGTTGTCCTTTCCTTCTAGTTGCTTTTCGTTTTCATTTATCATGAAAAACACAGCACGTAATATACGTGACTGTGGAAAAATTTTAAATGCCACGAACATCAAAATGCTGTAGTTCTAAAAGAAAATACGCAAAAGCAGAAAAAAAAAATATAAATAACAACTTTCTAGACTTCTTCACAAATGCGGCATTTAAGCGTCGTGGAAAGGAATCGACAGTGTAAATAAAAAGCATATTGCATCGGAAAGCGTCTGGTAGAAATTTAGCGGATTGTTGAACTTAACATATTCAATTCGAAAAATCTTAAGGTAATACAAGGGTTGCATTGAATTCAAGGACTTCCTGTTCCGAAGAATACGATAAACCCAATTGCTGTAAGGTGTAATACCCCCTGAAGATTATTCGGAAAAAAAATCAGATGGACACCTTCGCCGTAACGGAAATACCTCGTTTATTACTGGCTGACCTCCATTGTGGCACTGTCATTGTAATTTATGTCCTATTAACAACTGACGTTCACTTGTGCTACACGATAATGGCAACGGCTCGCTCAAATAGTTTTTGCAGTATTTCGGAGCTTCTTCCCATCAATTGGCAAATTTTGTTAGGTATCCAAGATAATGAAAACGTAGATGGCGGATTCACTGTTAAAACACACATTCTTAATAGAATGATACTCAAGCGATTGCACGACAGTCGCTTCCTATCCCTCGACCTGCCTTCATCAGTCACTGCTGTTCTTGTCACCCGCTGAATGGCCCAGATTTCGATTTTTACTTTACGTGAATCGAACTGAGATCCAATTTAAGACAGATGCATCGTACTTTACATCTACATTTTACATTACGTATTTTACATTTGATATCATAAAATAAACTTAACTACACAGGCACGCGGTGTCTGTTTTTAGTGGAAAGATAACCCTTTATTGATAGAATGTCACCGCTACGGCATTTACATTTGTTATAGAAAATCGTCGTCGGCCGCGTGTAATGAACAAGATCCCGCTTATGCACAGTAGCTTTAAAGATTCAATAAAATGACAAAATATAAAAATTCCTAAAGGAATGCATTTCATGAAGCCCAGCTGGGAAAATGTTAGTGCAACGGTACATGTGATAAATGCAGAGATAAAGTTAACCTCGAATCGCCGAGGTGAATTCCGAAAAGCGTCACCAGATGACGCAAGAAGGACGGCGTAAGGCAAAAGGACATCGTATATTTAGAGGCCCGATCATCAGTTACGTGACTGTGATTATTGTTTCCGCTGTACGCGGCAATTTGCTAGATCATAGTGTCGAACTATGGCGACGCCGGCGGTAGCAGCGAATGTGTCAGCAGAGGAAAACTCAAACCGATGCGTTTAGGAACCGTTGCTTCCCGGTCGCAGAGTTCATTAACTAACCTTCGTGACGAGTAGTCGCATTGCAGATGCTCCGCTGAAGATCCGGTGCTCCGTTCCTTTGTATCGCGCTCTTAGTGCAGTCCCTCTGGACGAATCTGCTACACACGAGGTCACGTAACCATCGCCACGAGACATTTGAAACGTAGAATTAATGGAAGAGGAAATATCGACAATCGATTTAAAAACAAAATGAGCAATAATAGCAAATACGGCGACAGACAAGTATGAAGGAATAAAGGACTTCGCTTGGAGTGACTCGTACCAAACTGAACTTTTACGGTCCAGCTTGACAAGCTCTACCGGTTACGATACGAAAACAGCGTTACCTTTGATACAGTGTTACCAGCACAGCAATAGGCAGTGACGCTGATGCGGTGTATGGTAAAGCAAAGAGCGCACTGAACTAGCGCAAAATTGAGCGGCAAAGTCAATAGGGGAGGAACTAGACGATGCTAACCGGTGCCCCCGTCCGCTTCGCGGCCGCTGCCAGCGAACACAAAAAGACGACGAAAACAATAACGACTAAAAAGGCGATGGCGCGCATCTATTGCCATTTTGGTAGTGGCGGCGACGGAAACGTTAGCAATAAGAAAATCGTACGGGATCGCCCGGCCTCGTCACTCGCTGCTTCCTCGCTTGCCGTTATTCTCCTCCGCGCTTCGATGCCGATGGCAGCAGCCGAGGATCACGCGCCATTGGCAGCAGCAACATCACGAATCCGGGAAGACGCCGGGCGGGGGGGGGAGGCCAAACTTGAAAAGATCACAGACGGAAGGAAAAAGAAAGGGTATTTACGGCGCGTCGTCGTTAATTTTGGACGTTACTGTCAGTCGATGCGCTGACGCTGCCGATCATAATAATTAAGCTGGTGATGCAGATGAGGCCGCTGCTGATAATGCTAAACGAGTGCCGAGTTGCCCCATAGAGGCCTCATCGGGTCCGCTGGTCGAGCTGGCAGATTTACCTACGAACAGAAAGCCAACACTTCAAATTGGGCCTTGGAAAAATTCGAATAAAATATACCGCGATGTGTAATTTAGCGAGCCAACTTTAGTTGTAATCATGTTAATTATTCACAAACGTATCCCTTGGTCCTAAAATGACCTCGGACGGGAACGTATCGTTTCGGTAACTTCACTTAAGTGTATTGTCGACATGTAGAATCGACCTGTACGAGCTTGTAGTGTGTAGCAGTATAACGAGAGATATAAATATAAATCGATACAAATTACGACAAATTCACTAATGTTTCATCCTTTTGCTTGTCATTACAGGTTAGCGCCCAATTCGACTGCCCACATGGTAAATATTTTCGATTTTTTTTTATTTGTTAACGATTTAGAAGTCCACAACTTCGCTTATGGTTGATAGTATGAAGGTGACGAAAAGTATCTTTACCGACTATGTCAACAGATCAAATTCATCTAAAGTATTGAGATGTTATTCTCCAATCATTCGTTGAAGTATCTTGTGTTTACCTTCGGGTCGAATGATGTTTTCCTCGCCTGATTCGAGGAACGTTAATCAGCGATTGGCCCTTGACAACACGTTGACAATTACGCTGACGATACAACAAGCGGCGTTACCACTCTATACCATCTCTGAAACTGGTGCGCTTCTAGTTAGAGATCAAATGCTAGCTTCCTTTAACTAGTCACCCATGATTTTTTATATGTGGCCGACTTTGTGTATTTAGTCGCTGTTATTAGGTAGATTCTCACTAGTTTAGCCGATGTTTATGTGGAAAACACCGAACGTACAAACATTCATCTTATGTATTCTTTTTTACGACCACACTGTAGTGAATGGCTGCACTGCAGGTGGCTGCCGTAACAACTGTTTTAGGCGCGCCGTCTCCTCAACAGATAGCTATCGTATCCTAATCGAGCCTATCTTCAACGAAATGTTTCAAATGGCACCGAATTCATCATGTCTGCTAGGCTATACCCGTATGGTTTTCGCCTGTCATGACATTATCCTATAGAATTCCTGCCATCAACGGATAGTATTTATCATGGACGTTTTTCAGTTTTATGCTTGTATTCTGTGACTGTAAATAGTCATATTTTAGTTTATCCGACAAAACTGTGTTGGCCGAAGCAAAGAATTACCTCAGGGTTAGATTATAAATCGGTTCTTTCATATACAGCTATAACGCTATCGGGTTATAATGATAAACAAATCGTTATGTAAATATCATTACTAGAGACTCGAATTTAACTAAACTTCCCAATGAACGCTTTACTATCGACTAGCTGTTTGGCTATGTCTGACCCGAGTGATACATAGATACGACGACGGATGTTTTGCGGTCTTCGACGGTTAATTGATTCATATTACTAAAGCTAAATGCGTATACAAAATTCCACGTACGGAACATTGTAGAATTTCCCGTTATTCCCTGTATTATAACCTCGTGTGTTGCGCTTGATGCGACAAGTGTGGTCAGGCCATATTAGATCACAGGACAGAGTTTCAGGGTAAACAGAAACAAGGCTGTAAACATCCGAACTCGATCGCATAAAAATAACATTCATGGAAGCCACTGCATCTGGAGAAGCGCCACGATGCCTTACGATGGTCGTCGATCACCGCAATGCCGGGCAGCGCTCCTGGTCAAGTTGTTCTTTAGAGCGAAACGTGAAGATAAGAAGACCGCGGCTTTAGCTCAAAGCTACCGAAAGAACAATGCAACGAAACTGAGAGGTTAAAAGGGGAAAATATGAGCAGGAAAAAACCAGAAGGGGTTGCCAACGGCAAAGGGGTCTCCTTAGTCGTTTGCGGAGTACTAAACTTTTCCTTTACACGTCGACAGAAACAACGTGAATATCATTATTACATTTATTAATCGGAGCACTTCAAGTGATGACTCGTTCCTTTCTTCGGCCCTTTCAAATGAGAAATATCATTCTCGCGTGAACGCTTCAGCAATGACCAACAACGTGAATCCCTTAGATAGTAAGTTAAAGTAGTGCCACATGTTTGCCCCTACTTATTAAATCTGCTATCCGTCTACATTGGTAATGTACCCTTACGACGCTCGCCATGCATTTCTTATATGTGGCCGACTTTGTTATAAAGCAGCGTATGTAGTTAGTTACAAACAGTCGACCGATGACCGGCCGCCCACTGTTCCACCGGTCAGCCAATGGCTAGCCTGGATGCTGTTTTAAACACTTGTCTTCTACGATTAACGTAATTTTGATCCCACTATCTCAACTTTCTATACTCTAATGGAATTTTTAGTTTACTTATTAAGTTAGAACCCCCGGCAGTCGGCATAGCTACCGCCTTCTCCTCCCCTTCCATCGGTGCGACTATTGTTTTTTTGCCATCACCGCTACTGTTGTTGATCATATATAACAATAACAATGGTATAACCAACGGCTGAGGGAATATTTCGAGGAACGCGATTCGTCCGAATAATTGCAGCACAAGAAAAAGCACTACGACGCTAAAGCCTTTTTTCGTGTTCAGGCGTGCGTACGTAGACCCAGCAATAGGGTTGCGTTTCATCATTTCGCTTTACTATTGTTGCTAGCCGCTAGGCCAAAAAGAGCTGCAAGCACTGCTCCGCCTCCCGTCCCGTTAGTATTTCAGCTCCGTGATAGAAAAACCTCGAAAACTGACGGCGTTTTTATAACGCTGATGTACTTCTCCTAAAGTTAACTGAATTGACGAGGATTGTTATCAAAAAAAAAAAAACATTAAAAAGCAGGTCTTTCTTCGTTCGGCGCCATCGTCGCCTTCTCGAATAATTGAGCACCCCTTCCATTTCCCCCCATTATTGCGTTCCTTCACACTCGCCCAAACCAATCGCGCACACTGTCACCGAACAAGTAACTCATTTGGTTATTATTATTATCGCTACGTTATTATTATTATTACTACTATATTGTCAGTGTTCCTCTTCATCGTCCCTTGGCCTGTTTTTCTTTATGATGTCGCTACTGTCAAGCTTTCCTCTCATTACTTCACTGACTCATTAATAAATCATAAACGAAAAAGTTAACGGCGAAGTTAACCAGGCAATGCCGATGTGTCATCGTAGCTGCTTATGCTGGTGGCGGTGGCAGTATTTGATTGCTTTTACCGACAAGAAATAGAAATGTCCCCCGTCGGAATGTGCCGTCTGACCGTTTGCAATTCTATCGATTTATCCATTTGTGATTGAGTGCGCAGTCGTTTATCTTGGAAGAGGGGATTAGTTGTCTGCTGAGCGCCTTCCGGTCGTCACTTGGGGGAAGTTAAAAGATGGGGGTTCGGAGGGCGATCAAAAATTTTTGTGGTGTCACCAATCACCAACGACGACGCCCACGGTTATTACCGGCAGTCATTGAGTTTTCTTTGACTGGTGGCCAGACGCTGTTATCCGCGGTGGCCTCTGAACGGCTCATAACATTTGCATACGATCGACCGCCTCGTTGTCAACGTGTTTGTTGTTGACTCACTCGGTCACTTTCATTGTATCGTGTCTCCGGCGAGAATCGGAACGTTCGATAGCGCTGTTTTTGTAGCTGTTTTTCGATGTGATTCCCTACCAAAAAAGTTTGCGCTGTTGTCAGTGTGAGTAAACAAGAAGATCGATTGTTGTGGTTCTTCACCTGCAGTAACGGCAGCAGCAACAGAAATAGCTGTTGTAGCACTATGGCAACCGCAACTGCAGCATACGCAGTGACGACATCAATGTCGAGCGTCGGTTCGCTCGCTGATTCTCCAGAAATATTCCTTCTTTGATCGGTTTTCTTGCTTTTTTCTATTTTAATTCCGCCGTACATCTAACATGTAATTACCGCGATGCTGCCGTCTGCCCGGGTTCGGCGCCACACTGGAGGCAGCTTCGTCACAATTTTTGTTGCCCCTATAAAAACCTCCTGCTTTTTGCTACAGTACTCTCACTGGTGCCCCTGTCGTTGCTGCAAGACGAGATACAATAACAAGGAACCTGCTAGGTAACGATTATGTTACCACATCATCTTGGGGGGAGCAGGTAAGCCCACCTAAATAGGAAAAAGGAAATTTGGGGTTATCTAAATTAGCCAACAGATGTGTGAGCGATAACCCCACGCTGCCACCACTGAAAAGAATGTCACCAAAATGATGTAAATGTGTCTTGAAACGGTTGAGGTGAAAACAGCCTAAAGATCAATAATCAACACTAAACTTCGAAAAAAGAACGGAATAACATGGATTTATATATTTAGAAGGCTACGATAATATCAGTAATAGTAATAGCAACATACCTAGTGAACAAAGATAACTTTTCGTTTTAACTAATAGTTACGAACTGCCCCTTACCAAGTCACAATCGTAAATAACCCAGCTTCTTGTCGTCATAAAAAAACACAAATTTCAGAACATTAACAAAAGCCGAAGTCGATTACAGTGTTTGTGATCGTACTTTTTTTGACTCTGATAAACACATTGGACTAGAAATAATAAGTTAAGAAAAAAAAAAAAGAAATAATTACATAGATAGCTATAGTCATAGGCGTATTACATACAACAGTTAATGATCGTTGTATATGCCACTACTTTAAGTATGTCAGATCCATTAGGAAACAGCACTTCGAATTCTAGAGAAAATCCCTAGGCAGCTAATGAAGTATATCAGCAACTCTTAACAATGATAACTTCATCTTCCGTCCAGATTTTTAGATGCGTTCCGAAAGATATATTTGAAAGCGAAATTTCAAAGTTCCAGCCTATTGGTGATGTTTGACATTCATTTCTAATTAGATAGCTCTGCGTTACTTTAGTTTCCTTGATTTAGTCACTAACCCATTTATTACTACGCTTTATATCACCTAAGATAGCACAATATTCGGTAGTCTACTGACATTTACCTATTTGTTAGTGTTACTGCGAAAGCCTATTGAAAGGCCAGTATAGACATGCGCTTTAGATACGTCAGTCATTTAATGTAACGTATCTGCTTGACTCATTATGAAATTAATATGACTACTACCGATCTGAACGGATGTGTTTGGGGTTGGCTGCAAATAAGGTCCTGCGACCGGTGTCTGAATCTGAGAACCCTTTGTCGCTAGGCGCTATAAGGACTTGTTTAATTGATCCGATGATCTGTGGAGAGGTACAGCTGCCGCAATAAAGCGGTGGCCGCGTTGCTTTCAGGCAACAACTAACCTATGGCCCGATCCCGCCCTTCTAACCCGCATCGATCGGACTGCGCTTATGTATTTATGACCATCATTGTGGCGTCGTCGTAATCAGCATCATCTTGAAATGTTCGGTGCGCACGTTATGCGTCGATTTGCTATTGTATCTAATATCTTTTTTAAAGTTACCAGGAGAGTTGTATACGCTGAGTAAAAGTGAGGTGATTTCATGGAGCATCAGTTTGTGAGATCCGCTTAGCAAAGGCCGAAACTAGGCAAGATACTACATTCGATGCCGGATTAAGTGTTTCTTCGCCGTTAAAATGGCGCCCTTACTCATTTGTCTTACTGTAACTATTTTTCATGTCACTTGGGCCCATTGCGGGGATTATTATTACTTCTGCTGGCACTGACGACTGGCTAGACGATCGTACAATCTCTGTTGACGCGAATCAGGTTTCCGCTGCTGCGGTTGCTACTGTGTCTTTTCACAGGCAATGACACACCACCCGACGTATCGACGTGCCTCAAACTAACGGTTACGATAGTATTCGAAGTCCCAGGCATGAGAACCGCTATCAGCTTCGTCATCATCAGCGGCACCTCTGTGTACCGTCTGAGTGATGCCATGTAAGCCTGGTGTTGCTGAAAAGTCGAAACGACGAGGCAAACCAGCAGACAATTTTTTGGAAACGGTTTTGGCAGTTCCAGCTGTCGTCGAGTCAGTCCTTGCTGCAGTGGCAGTGGCACTAAGGGGCGGCTGCCCGTCGCGTATTTTTACCAGCTCCCCAGCCACTGCTAGTGCCCCCGAGTTCTCCCGCTTCTTTGGTTCGGGTGGTTCCGAGGCAAACGACAGCAGCTGGAGAAGGCGGCGGGAGAAAACAATAAAAATACACGACTGCTGTTTCGACTATTTATGAATAAGCACACGACGCAGACGACGGACGCGCACGTACAACTGACAAAGACATCCAAACAGACAGACGCCCTGAGACGCTAGAAAGCGGTCGTAACAGGTACAGTAGCAGTGAGAATTTGGTCGTCTTGGAGAAAGAGGCGGGTCGATTTGACTTTTCGACCTAAAGTAAATCATCTTCAATGAATGAATAAATAAACGAACCCAATGCTATCAGCGGAATGAAGGGCCAATGTATGCTGCTGCTGCTGCTGCTGATGATGATTCCGCCGCCACCGCTACGACTACTGCTCTTACGGCCATTGGCGCCACTGAGCCATCATTATCGTCTTCGTCACACTTCGACAACCGCCCGACACCGCTCAGTCGACACGAATTAGGGTGTTGCGTCGAACCAGCTGCTACCGTATCGGCGCGAGCGCTCTCAGATACGATCGAAGAACAAAGGGGAGAGGCGGCCGGCCAAATTGCTCAGCCCTTATTCGTTCTACTGCTGACACGCTTCTGATGGTGTCCTTGTTTTTCTCCATTTGTAGCCATGCCAGCTACGGCTGTGATAGCTATTATCGCCTTCAGAGACCCTAGACAAGAGAACCATTGTCAAAAAGAGCTTTCACGTCATCTTTCGACGTTTCCTCCTATCCCGTCCAGTCAGTCAAGAAGAAAGCTAGCGTTATAGCCTGGAAATAGTGCAGTTCTTACAAAAAATGCCGTACAACTATTTAGTGTCAGTCATCAATCAATGTGCTATATTTCACTCAGTTAGTACATAATCATTATAACTGATCTTTACGATGCATTTTCCCTTCGGTGTCACTCTTTTTTTAAACCTTCATCACGCTTGCCTCATTCGCACGCGCGGTCAGCAGACAGCTGTGGCCCCACTGGATCCTTGTGGATTTTAGCTTCATTGTTCTTCGACGCAACTATAGATACTCGTAATACGATCACATACGCTATGGATTAAAACTACTTGACTATGACAATTCACAGTGAAATTATTAATATCCGGAAGTACACACCGGTGTTTATATACAAAATCCTATGCAGACGACGTTACACTGCTGAATTTTCACGTGGGTCCCTCTAACACTACTGCTGTTCCATATAAACCAGCTCAGATAATAGCAAAAAGATATTTCATAAGTGCAACCAACTCGTAAGTTATAGCTTGGACTAACTAGCTACAAATTTCAAACAAGGTCTACAAAGCAAGGCCCAGAGCTAGATGGGGCTGTAATCATTTATAGCTGCCCTTTCTAGTTCGTTGTACTACATTCACCATCGTTCAAAAGCCATGCAAGACAAGAGGTCACGTATTCTGTTTCGCAAAGTTGAGGTATCTTGAGTGCAGTCAGTTGTCAGACGATGTTTACGTCTTTTCTTCCGTGAAGTTACATAATAGGTATATCAACATTTTCCGTCCCACATCCTCTGTCCCATGCAGATGATAATCGAATTTAGTATTATGGTTTGTTCCAGTCTACGCAACTGAATTTGCCCTTTATATATATATATATATATATATATAGTTTTGTTGAGAAGTATTGAGTGTTTTTCTATCTGGAATAAGGTCACATATTGATAGGTTGGTATAAGCTGGTGCGACACTGACAGCATTTCGAGGCTGAGATTTAGCAATAGTAGATGGAAATGTCGCTTTCGTTCTGGAAATCACGATGCAGGGGATGCTTCTTGTGGTCGTCGACCAATTACGAAAGAAGTTAATGAAGTTATTGCGGAAGTCGGTATCGCCAAAGAACTAAACATACATCACTAAACAGTTTTAAAGCAAAAGTAGAAAGCTGGTTGAAAGAAAGGTCAATGCTTGAACGAAAGAGGAATTGACCCGAAAGAATTATCTCTGTCCGCAAAGTGGTCCTGAAATGGAGCCATTTTTAAAGCACTTGATCAAAAATAGATCATATATATTGCAATAATATGGAACCGAAAAGAAAACGTGTTCCATAGTTTGTGACAAAGCCCAAACCAATGCAAAAATAAATTTATGCTACGTTCTTAGATCGGAGTTACGATTGGAACGGGATCGTGCATTATTATGGGTTACTATCGCCTGCCAAAACGATTGATTCGGACCCCCGTTCCTAACAGCTGGCGAGGTTACAACACATTAATGAGATCTCTAAACCGAAACTAGCGAACAGAAAAAAATATTGTCTTCCAGCGTGGAAATGACATATTACATACATGTTTGGCTGGCCGGCAAAATTGAGAGAACAAGGAGGGGAGGTTTTCATACATCCGGCTTATGGCCCGGATCTTCCATCGTCAGATAATTTTCTGTTTCATGGTTTAGAGAAATTGCGTGGCAATATTCATTTAGTGATAAAAATTAGAGAGTGCAAAAATTGCTTACACAGTTTTTTTCCCATAGAAAGTACAGAAGTTCTAAGGTAACGGAACTACGGTATTTTTCGAAAAACGGTAGAAGATCATTAATCCAAATAACGCTTGTTTAGTAATAATTTTTGAAAAATACTTCAATTATCGACTAAAAACGGTCAATATCTTTTCGATATATAGCTACGTCCATGCTCATCACAACGTTATGATCATCGGCGTCACCAACTCGATTAAATAGCCAACGGGCAAAACAAGCTCGGGGAACGAAAACGAGCAAACGAAGGCAAGAGAACGGGGAAGGGGGACGGGGAACGGGGGTGTCGGATCTTAGCAATACACCGGCAATTTCTGTCAGAAGTCTACTATTTGCCAAATGACAACCCAACTGGGTAGAAGTTGTCGTGAAAATAGCTTTTCTAGGGTATATATCAATCGCGCAATTTAGCGATGTTTACCCAAAAGGGCGCGAGGGACATTTGAGAAATAGGAGTTCTTGACAATTGTGGATATGATTGTACTTAATACCTATATGATTGTACCATTGCTACGATCCTTTTTCGCGTATTAGATTAAGTATTATTACTTGTGGCATGGCTATTAAATCGGCGATATACCTATAACGATTAGCTCCGTATATTTAGATAAAAAATGGCAGCCGAACATTGGACAGTTGTATGTATGTACATTTGTATGTAAACTGACCTAAAATATGCATAGTATGTACCTGGTACACAGTGGATTTCGATGAAAAAACATCTATAGAGAGTACTGTTTCAAATTTTTGTTACATATATGTAACATTCATTTTCTATATATGTTTTTCTTAATAAAATGTTTCGTGTTATTGCTGTTTTTGTGTACTATTAGGTTGGACGCGAGACAGCGTTTACTGCTACAAGTTCATCAGTAACAAACATTCGTGGAGAAGAGCAGAGGAAGTATGCCGGCGATACGGGAGTCAATTAGCTCTCGTGCTGAACTACCATCAGAATAACTTCACGCGAGCCCTAGCAACTGAGGGTCTTCGGGACCAGCCCCAAAATGCCTACTGGCTTGGCCTTAAGTCCGTTAAGGATCTAGCTACAAATACGCTTGAGTCATCGTCTGGCTACTTTATCCCGAAGTATGTGGGTCATTGGTCTTTAGATCAACCCCAGCCTGAAAGAGGCCAATGTGTATACGCGCAATTGAGCGAACGCAACCAAGAGTGGGGACTGACCTCATGCGAGGCGATGCTGCCATTCGTCTGCCAAGTGCCAGCATGCCCAAAAGGTATTTGACTAATCCTGTTTCTGTATCTCGCTGCAGTTCTATGGCCGTTTATTTTAATTCAATAACAATATTTTACACTCTGGCGTATAATGTCTGCTATGAATACCGCGCAATATAAATAATAATCAGCCTTGCCTCGATGAGAAACCTCGCGGCAAAATTGTGTCTCAAATTTTATTACGTCGCAAATTATTCTCATATTTAACTGCATAAACAGGCGAACTGTGACTGCCCCATTACAATCTCAAGCACATTGGCATAATTGCTTGTTATAGCTTTCTCGCCTCATTCTAAATAATACTTCTCATATCTGTACTACTCAATAGCATAGACAGCATCTCGGTCTAGAAACGTACAGTTTAACTAGCAAGCCCCTGTTCTATAATTGGACCACATGGCAGCACATCCACGTCTTCTCAGACTTCTCGTAAGACGGTCCCATCTGCCTATGATGATGACATTACCAAATACTAGGCGACGATAATAGGTCTACGCGTTAACTTAGTAACATATCACAGCGAACCCATTGTTGACCTCTCTGAACCCAGTTCAGGGATAATGATCCGATAAGAATCATCGACTATCGTGCACCCAATCCTGGTCCTGTCACCACGCGACCACAAACGATTACACAGTTGCGGTGTCAGAACCACCGCCCTGTCAACCGCATACTTAAACTCGTTCAAGCGTTGAGGTCAAAACGATCAAAGTTTCTCAAACCTCTGGATAGTATAGATAAAGCGCACATGACGCTAGCCTAGTACCGGTATAGAAATCATTTTTGAAATAACTTAAAACCTTGCACCTAAGATCGTCCATTCTCTGTGTGACTTCTGGGCTGTAATAGAAAAACACCCTGTTTATTATTTCCGTGTTAGTTTCGCCATTCTTTTGAGCGTTTACATTAACTGACTATAAAGTTGACTGATAGAAAGATGTCTAAGATGCCCAAAGTTACATATTCATAGAACATACATATTCAAAGTAAGCTAGAAAACAGGCAGATTTTCTCTTCTGCTCGTTTTGAATCAAATAATTTGGGCGCAACCAATTCAAGAACCGAGAATCAAATCTGGGGGATACACGTGATTTATAATAGAATGTGCCCCATAATGTCCCGTTCATAGTACGCGGAACTATGGTTTTACCGCACCTCCTTTGGAGATAAAATGGTACGCCTGGGGGGAGCGTGCCTCTCTGGGATAGATTCGCGACGCGACAACTTAGGTTCCACCACTGACGGTTCTTTTTCGTCTCAATCATATTCCCTGTGGCTTCCTCAATACGGCATCACCTCATTACTACCATTTTATTATGATGGGTATTATCTTTCGGTCAGTACATTTTATGCCCATTTCGCCATTTCATCGACTTAGTCGAACTGCAGCTGAATAAATGCAAAAATGCCTAGACAAAGGTATCTTTAAGATAGCACAAATACTAACTAACCCCCGTTCCGAAATCAATATTTTGAGGGGCTGGGTAAAAATTGTTTCCTTCGGATAAGCAACTACTAAATGATAGTTGTCGTAGACGTAACAAGAATTACCAATAATGGCAGCAGGAGTAGCAGCTAGCTGCGTCAGCTCATAACAATTTACCATCATAGGTAGATAGGTGGATATATAAAGGCAATGTCGCTGACATCGACGACCGCTGCTTAGAGCCATTACGACGAGGGCGAAAGTTAATGTTGCATAAAAGCGCAGAAGACTGTCTTGGCCAAAATGTGTTCTTTGCCCGGGTCTACCCTTTTCAATAGGTTCCAACAAATATGTATCCTGTGGTCGTCATAGCATCATTTGTCTGCTGGAGCTGACGAGCACGAAGACTTTTTGCAGAATAAAGCTAGGCAGACACGGAGGGGTTAGTTGCAGTGGGGAAAATCAGTTTTTCTTGCTAGCTATTTTTACTGGTCGAACCACTTCCGCCTGTGCGCCGTCCCTGGCGTTAACGGTGGAATACCATCGTTCTTCGGCATTCAGACTGAACGACACCGAGCGAATTGAACTGGTGGCGGTCTGCTTCTTTCGTTCGGTCCTCCTCTGTTTGCTTTTCATTTTTCCACCTATTCCTACCCCTCCTCCTCCCCCCGTACTTACTCCCATTGCGCCTCGCCTGTTTTTTTGTCTGCTTTCTTTCTCCTTTCTAATGCTTCCTCTAGTCTCGTCGTAAAATTAGTTTTTATTTTCGATCCATTTCTATTCCATAATTCCTTACACCCTTTGTTGTCGCTTGTACGACTACTTCGACAATTACTACTGCATCCATTATGAATAGCTTACTACTGTGTACCCCTATGCCAAATACACCGGACTGATACCGAATGGAAGGTTCTAAAGGAAACATGTAGCTCTTCGCGGTACCGGACCCGCTCGGGCCGCAAACCTTCTCATTTGTTATTATCGATGAAAAATTGACGAGCATTGTCATGATAGTTACCGTTGACGGTAAGATAGACCGAATATAGAATATTACTGCAGAGTTCTTGCATGCAATTCGCTATATGCGGCGTTCATTACGACGAATTAGGTGTACACGACTCACTCACTATATTGTGTGGTTTTCTTTTGTGTCCCATCGTTTCTTTTGTTTGCTCTAGATACTTCTCTTGTGAATGTGGTTATTAAGTAAAATAAACATACTTAGATTCATTGATTGACCGCTTGATACACCTATGTAACCCAAAGCTATCCATAAAAGTAACGATGGGAATTTTACACGTGCTTTGTTTGCCAGTCGTGCTTCGTCGCATTCAATCTATGATAATGGCTTTGAATTTGTGATTCTAATGTTGGGCCTTCGTCTTCGGTCAATAACATAGATGGATGGTCAAGATTTTTGATTGGATCCAATAACGGTGATGTCGTATAGCATGCGCTAGTTCGTTTGCTGGAACGAGTACGATCCCCGTTTGCAGCCATTACCATTGCTTTTTGTTGTCGGTGATGATGCGCACGTGGATGATGATGTGATCGCTGCTCATGCATCCGTGCAAAATTCCCCAATCCATGGGGTGAGGTTCAACGAGAAGGTAACCCGACATGAGCCGGGAAACTATGCTCCAACACTCCTCGTCTATAATAGCAAGTGGATGACAATAATGTAACATGTTACTGTAGTAATTCGTGCGCTTGATTATTGCGTGTATGATTCCAGCTAACAGGCTTGTCATGCAAAAAAACAATTCCCGTTCTGTTAGTGCACGTATGTAGGTGTACATAGGTGTATGTACATAAACGCATTACATGTTACCTGATGTAACATTTAAAATTTTTCCCTGTTTAACTGCTTGACTGGCTCTGTGTTATCTACCGATTTTTGTTTAACAGTTTTCCCCTAGCTAGTCAGTCGAGATGAATGTGTATATGCGCATAAACAGGGCTCGTTTTTGGTATCTGTCTTTTTCGATTGCTTTCAAAGCTTTCCCAATAGCTTTTTGTTGAGTGTACTACGGAAATTACCGAATTCAATAGAATTATGTCAATCAAAATCAAGAGCATAACTATGTTTTCCCGAATTTAACGGAGGAGAACTCCTTGGAGCCACCTTTAACGATTGACAATGCCGCATCTGACCACGGTCACATCTAGGCTTTCAGGAACGCTGAATTGCCCTTGAAGTCTTCAAACTCCGATTTCACATGTTTGCACACCCCCCAGATTCACTTTGCAAAATAGATCGCTAGGTCCGTACGGTTGTCCCCTTTCGAAAGCAACATAAACCTTGTCGAAACGAGAATCTATTGGGTTGTTGCCAGCAACAATGGGTGGTATCTGACAGGCTATGTCAATACACAACAACGTAATATACATTAGCAATACAGGTTACGACAACCAAGACCGAACAACCTTCGATACCGAAAGATGCCGCAGAAGGGGGAGTGGAGGGGAGAGGGGGGCTATAAAAGTACAGCTAAAACAAACAAACAAAAAAATCGTCCGTAATAGAAATAAAAACAAACCAAATTAGTGTTTTCAAGGCTGTTTTATAATTACGCTTCTTTTCAAGAGGATGGCGCCTTTACAGAACAGTCAATGAGATATGAGAGAACTTTCTAGTGAAGAACATATCCTTACAATTGCACGCAAAGGGAAGACATTAATTCGGCACGTTTATAGCGTGAACATTGTATTTTGTAAGTGGTGACACCTCGCCCGGCTAAGCATTTGATAAAGTGATAAAACTTCTATATTTCGAAATTAAGTTGCTTGGGCAAAGTCGAAACCTACCAGCCTGTCGAATTACTTTCTTTTACAATAAATTAGATAATTGCGTAAAAATTCGATGAAAAAATAATTTCTAAAACGTGTGATCTTCTGCCCTGTCAGCTTTTCGGTAAGGCTTTTAATAATATTTCGATAGAAAACGTAATTCCATACGGGCACTTCGCATTAGGTGCTGCAATTTACATAAGGCCATGTTAAACCAATAGTTATGACTAACCAATTTTTTTTCTGTTTCAGGAACATTTTTGTGCGCGAGTGGGAAGTGCCTTAATAAGAGATGGCAATGCGATGGGGTCGATGACTGCGGAGACGGATCGGACGAAATGGATTGCCCGCGTAAGTTGGGCAATAACCCATGCTAAATGCAACACTTGACTCATAAATATGGTAGCAGAAATATCTGCATTAATTGTTCTTAATGGCCAACAGAAGAATTTGACAGGAATGAGATCTTTTTTTCGCAGTTGGTGTAATTGGCGAGAAACGATCACTCTTGGTGGCGCTAAGGCTTTGTACCTTATTGACTATCTGGGATTCAGCTCTTCACTCCGTTGTGCGTTCGCGATGCTTTCCTGTTTGTTCGCACTACAAAACTAAGGCACTCTTTAATTATTCAGTATAAACAAAACAAGCTATTGATTGTTTTTTTAATACGTTTGAGTATCAAGATATGGCCACGTTTAATTATATAGATTGACACAAACGGAATTTCACTTATTCGACCATGTCACACCAATACATCGCAAAAAACATAAAAATTTCGCTCAGTAAAAACGAACACCGATGCTATGAAGTTTCTAAGCAAGATGATGAAGCTAATTCCCCGAAACCACAATGGCGTAATGTGTTCTACGATTTTTTACTTCTTGGCTCAGTGCGAAGGCCTCACGTGCTCGCTGATCAGAAGTAGATTGTCAGGCAAACGTGAAGAGTCTACGTCTGTACTGTATCTTTTTTTTAACGTGTCGTACTGCTCACGTCACAAAAGGTAGTAGCTTACATTTACAGGATTAGCTAACTCGTTATCATACTAAGTGCGCTGATGAATGGATTCTGTAATGGTTATAACACTTGAACGAACACTCAATTGAACGGGATTCCGTAGGCGAAAAAAAGGGAACTTTGACATTTACCACCACGATCCGTCCGTCCGTACGTTCGTTCCTCTTTTTTTCTCACGTCTTGTTTTTTTTTTTAATTTGCTTTTTCGTGCTATTGCGAACGTTATTCAAACGACGTTGAATTTAGCGCTGCTACAGACGATGATTGACTTGTATGCGTGTGTGTATGATAGCCGTCTGATTGCTTTAACCACTAGTTAAGAGCCACCAATCAACGAGTATTCTTCAATCATCGTTCGGTAACTACAGCGTTACTTACTGCTTGGCACACGGCAATCCACGTCCAGTGAGAAATATTTGGCATTGAAACAAGTCTTATGGATAGTAGATAGCAAAGAGCTTGCTGTTCCTTATCAATAATAGATGAATCTATGATGACATTGCAACAACTCTGATCTTCTAGAGGAGGACAGATTTAGCAGGCGACAGATGAGAAGAACAATGCTCTTCAAATGCACTACGATTTCTCAAACATCAGTCGAAATATCTCTACTATGTATCTTTATCTGTGATTATATTCTACGGGGTAACGCAAAAATCGAATTGTACGTTTACACAAGTCTTTATGAGCAAATACGTCTAGGATAGTTAGATCCAATTAATTTTTATTATACACATGGCCTTAGTTCGGATAAATTAGCCCGTACTGGTACCTCCATAAGCGAAGCCTAGCGGTTTACTATGAATTAACCCCACGTGCTGTTGTCGGTTATATTCTAAATCATAAATTGTACCTGCAGACCTATTATTATTCGGTGTCATTTGGATTACAACAAAAATTAAGGGACAATTGGGGTAAGGTTAGTAGAGACAGCAGTACTTCGGCAACCTCGGGACAGGCAAAGTCTAAGTTTGGAAGCTGCTGCTTCAAGGTTGAGGCACTTCGCGCCCTCTGAGTGTGCTGTGATAACTTGTCAACTTACAAACACGATTTGCGTAGTATTTTAATATATATACATGCAGATAATACTTTCGAGTCTTTTCTATGATCTCCTACTTCTATAGAAAGATAGTAATGCAGTTTTAATCCTTGATAGTGTAGTACGTTACATGTGACGGGTAATTCTGACCAATGGATTGTGTGGCGAATGAAGTTTTCATCCATATCGAAACCCCACTAGTCTTGCATAGTCTCAAATGAACGCTCGTTAAGGGTCGCAATGAAAAGGAAGGCTTTGATAACGACGATAAGCCTCGATAGTATAACCCATTCCCAATAACTATAATTGAAATAAGTGAAACGCACTAGTACTACCCGGCCGATTTGTAATGAACAGAATTCTGAAGGACTTCGGTTCATATTGTCAAGACAATTCCTCGTCAAAGCGACGGTCCGCCTGACTGGCACCGTTCAGATGGCGACTAGCAACGGATCGGTATCTGTTACATCGCTGCCGCTACTGCCGCAGATCGTTTCTATAAGCATACCATTGGACAGACACAATGCGATCCGTGCAAGACACCAGGAGCGTCTACTCTTGGCCACAGCCAGATTTCGTTACCACGATATTAGCTGGCTGGCCGTTACGACTGAACACGATGAGTAATTTCTGTTCGTCTGATGCTCAACCCGCTGAAGCTTCTCCTAGACCAGCTAACGCTGAGGTAGCAGTAGAAAAGCATCAAACAAGTAGAGCGATGGTTCTAGAATTAGCGCAAAGCTCTGTATTGTGCATAATTAAAGTTGACCGTTGAATAAACCGTTTCTGAAGTTCGCTGATTCTTGTGTCCCGTTAAGTTTGCCACGTATCGAATGCGGTTCGTTCATGATGATGGTAATGGTCATGAATCCTTAGAACTGGTCTGTGCAGGGAGGATTGACTACCACAGTCGAGTATCGCATCGAGATTAACAGTCTTCGAATGCTCGCAAGACCAATACTGAAGGGCAGCCCCAAATTGCATATTAGGTCTCTTCAAATCATATTGTTTGCTTTTTTTTTTTCTGCTTATGCGTATAATTCGATGTTTCATTTCACTTCTCTCACTCGACGATTTCATTACTCTACTGTTGAAGTTATATCCAGACGAGGTCTGACGACAGACGAGGCTGTTGATTTAGTTCTTTCCCGCCCTTCTTAATATCTCTTTCTGGCATGTCGTATAGCGGCATCAACGAAACCATTGGATAGATAAATCTGACAGGCTCTGAGAATGAGAGCTCACCTGACGTGAACCAGGACCGCTACATAAACTGCCGCAGTAGACATACGACACAACATCACCATTATACTATCATTAAATGTGGTCTTATTCGGGCGAAACGTTGAATCGTGTGCCAGCAGTCAATGAATCGCCGCTGCATCTAGTGGACAGAGGAGAGTCATTGACGAAAACCATCTAATTCTATGTGGCAGGATAAGGCTCCGATATGTATGGGATATTACGTTTTTAGAATACGTTATGGCCGAGTGTATCAACCGTATTTTTTCGAGCGACGATCACAGAACGAACGGAAGATGGACGAATCAACTATATAACATTATTCTATACGAATAAGTTCTTCTTTGCTATACTGTGCGATTTGTTCCTCATAGGAGTCACTATTGAACGTAGACGATCAGAGTTCTTTCTGCTTAGCTGTGTTAGCGAGAAGATGCAGAAAATAGCGTTTGTCCTTAGCAGCTTCCCTATAATCATTCTAGTTAGCTGTGGAGCATCATAAATCACCCATACTTGCAGCGTACGAGTTAAACGAATGAACCCGAGACGCTCCTTCCGTCTTTTACTGTAGTAGTACCGTTCCTGTGGCGTATCGTCCTGTTACCGGGCCCCAAAGACCTTTACACCGCTTTTAGTCCGAATTTTTACTTGGAGTCTGGAAAAAGAGCTCCTAAAGAATGAACTCACAGAAAATATCAGTGCCAAATAACACTTCGAGCGATTCATGAAGCACAATCATCTTCAATAACCGACCGTTTAGTCACGATTATCGTGTTTTGCCACTGATGACGGGTTACTTTGTGTGCTTATTGCGAGTCAAACATGTGCTTGTTGTGAGTTATTGATGGAGAAGTGACTAATGCCTCGAATAAGCTACACGTAAAAAGTTATCAGGCGAAGGCAGCTTCCGTTTGTACGATTCTCTTCAAACAAGGGCAAAAATGGCTGAGAGATCATTGGGATAACTTTTATACATTAGGAGCTATATGAGTGCCGATAAATTTTAGGTTGTCGTTAAGTCAGATGGGGTTCGTAGATGTTAGTACTGCCGGGTACAGGTCTAGGGTAAAATACTTTTATACTGTATCGGATAAGCCGCAAAATGGACTTTTATCTTTACTACGAAATGTTCAAATATGAGGTATAAAAGCAAACACTGCTAAATATATTTGATGTTAATGATTTGGTGATCGGTTCCTCAGGTTCTATGTTTGTTCATAAGCAACAGTTCTTTTTTTTGTTGAAGCGAAGGAAAGAACCCATGAGACAATTTTTCGTTTTCTTTTACACGAAGATTAAGTATGGGCCCTGTAAGACAACAAACACATCCTCTGATAAAATCTCTTCCTGGGCAGGAATATGGGCACATCTATTCAAAACTCTTCAATCAAAAGTTATCATCACGGCTACGATGTGTTTTATCCACGTTTTTGCAATTGCAATAAGCATGTGCGATCTATAAGGCATCGTATTGCAAAGCAACTATGTATATATATATACATGTTTCTTTTGGGTCTTTCTACTAGCGGCCTGAGCCGTCTACTTGTTGTACCGATACATTCTTCTGTTCATGTTTCGGTTTAGCTGCCGTTGTTATTGCCTTGATCGCCGTCTTCATCACCAGCACTATCGCCTCGCGTCGTCGCTGAAGAAAACCTAGACGAAGACCAAGCAGCCAACGAGCGAACGAATGAACGGCCTTTCAATGCAAGGGATGGATTTCGGCCACCAGGTGGAAGATCACCTTGGCTATTGGCTACGAGACGAACGCTGGCGCCTGTTGAACTGTGGCAGTCCTTACTAACGCTGCCGCTAAAACTAGTGCTCTTTCGGTAACTCCATGGGCACCAATGAAGGCTGGACGGCTTGTGAACAGAACCGAAACGGAGTATGCCGTTCGACTGCGCTGCCATAACGGCCGTATCGAGTATGCTGTAATATTCCGTTATTTGCCGTAGCTACAGAGCATAATCGTTGGTATAGAATTGACTGGGTGAAAAGTTTCTTTCTAAGTGTAAAACATCGAAAGACGAAATAAAGCCAGTGGCGGCATCGGCAGATAGATGAAAAGTGTAGGCATCATAAAAAACTTTATCACATCTTAGCTGTTGGTAGTGTAGCAGTGTCCCTCGCTATCATGTCATGATGATTCTCGGCAAGGTACCAAACAAGGAAGGAGGAGTCAAGAAGGAGATCAAAGAGGGAGGAGGACGACAAGGCAGGAGAAGGAACGTGAGAAAAATGACAACGTTGACACCCTTTTCGCCTTCGATCATTATTACTTATATCGATTATTATTTGTTACTGTGTCAGCTGTCAGCTGATAGCACATGAGACAATCCGAAGTCCAGAATAAAATCAAAACTAAATAATAGGAAAACGACGGCCTCACTTTAGCACCGTTATTCTCGTCAGCGTTCGTCACCGTGATAATCTTCTATGTGTATATAGATATTATTTCGCAAATCTGTGGCATACTCGCTAATCAGACTCGGAATCCTGCGCATACACATGTATTCTTCCTATTTAATAGAATTTCGTTATCAAACGAAGAAATTCCTTCGATTTTGGCAAAACTCTAATCGATAATTGAGGAATAATTGATAGAGATTGCGTTTAAAGATTCGTGCAGACAAAAAAATATTAAGTCCGAAGACATAGGAGGACACGTTTTCATACCACTTAGACGAGTATCCTGCGCACAACGCGGATGGTTTACTTAAACGGAAAAATTACTTTGCGAATAGGTAACGGGTTTACGGCCAGCAGTATGAAATTCAATCAATGACGTTCATATTCTCGATGCGGCTGTGACAGGTGATAAGCGGGAAGCTTGATTTTTTGGGTGAGTACTGTTTACTACTATGTCAGACAAGCCTATTGGTAGTTCGTAATACCTGCAACTGGTCGCAAGGCGCCCTTGTTTGCTGAAGAAAGAATTTGAAGATAGATTGACAAATCAATCTTTTGTCAGTTGTTAACGCTTAAGAGTACTACATCGCTATCGTCGTTGTGCAGTACTTTCTTTTTCAAAGAGCCAAAATTTAGCAAAGCCAAATTTATCGTCAACGTTACGAGGCATTGGGATCGACGGTGGGTACCCAATATGGGGGCTGACGCAGTACGAAGAGTCATCTATGGGTAACTTCGAGTAGCGATGTTTCTTTTTCCCAGCAGTGACAATCATTGCAGCAGTATGATGTGTTATGCAGTACGTTCATTAACTAGTTGGTAGCGCTGCTGTGATGGTTAACTGCTCCAACAAAACTGACTATCTGGGTCGGACGTCTGGAGTCGAGCACATATGCTGCTTCCAATTCTTTCGGCAAAATGTAAACACTGCACAGTATGTGGATAAAGATGGTATATATATATATGATCGGCAATGTTCGTATACGCAATAAACATATAACGACATACATATTGCTGCGGAAAGGTCTAGTCATGATATAAAATGGCTTCGTGAAGCAGCATGATGGTAATTCACACAACTATCAGAGAATGGCTCAAAAAGAATGCCTTCGCCCAGCATTTGATGCCAGAAGAGATTAGTTCGATAAAAATAGTAATGGCGACATGTTGGGAACAAGCGAGGACAAACGTCACAATTGGAGGAGCTTATGGAAATCAGTGACATACATACGTACATTGCAGCAATGTTCATACGGTCTCTATAATTACAGTCACTACTGGACATAGTGACGACTACGCAATGGCAAAGAGGCCCAGTTTTACCACTCTATACCACGTAATGCTGCCTGGAATCTTTGGAGTCAGTTAAATAGAACGCACAAGTAAAATGGTTGTATGATATAAATGTAAGAAATGGTCCGCGCTCGTTATGGCCCACGAATACAATCCCCAGTGGCTCCATTGTTAACATTTATTATTATATAAAGATTCTCTTTGAAGATGTTCATAGATCTTGAATGTCCGCTATGTATAAGAGCTTGACTCAAATAAGTGTATTAACTTTATAGAGTAATAATACCACTAACTTTATCGGACCTCGTTCCTCGCCCGTGATTTAATGCGGAAGTACATCTAGTATGTTTTTATTAAGGAATATAGTAGGGAAAACTTCGCCCAGTTGAGGACGAAGACGGAGAAATCACAGCGCTGATACTATTTAGGCTAAATGCAAGCTTTTTAACCAAAAGCAATTATTTAGATTGAAGATAGCCGCTACCGCCGAAAAGCTTAAGTTGATAACGTATGTCCAAATCGTAAAAAAAAAAAACAAGATTTTCACACATGTAGTAGCTTTTATTACCGTACTGATTCTTATTCTGCTCAACAATTTCATAGACTACGTACACAGACACGAACAAAACGCGGTAGTTTTCGGCGATACGTGCACCGATCAATGTAGACTCGTGTATGCGTGTTTCAGCGTCATCGTTCGTGCGCAGATATTATATTGTAGACAGATTAGCGCCTGCTATCGCCGACATGTTTTTTTTTTCTGACCAGTGATTTGCTCAAATCTTAATTGTTGTAGAAAGCAGTACAGCTATCAGATCGCGTTATCGAAGCGACACCAGTGGCGCTATCGTAGACATTTTTGCATGTTCAAGTAAGTTAGACACGTCGGGGGGCGTTACAGCCACCGCTGTAGGTGAACGTTGTTGAAATAGCGGTACCCACGCATATCGTTGTGTTTATTTGCTTTAAATGATAAGGAACAGGCAGTCAATGCAGAATAATGCAGATGTCCGCACTTTATTCAGAAGCTTTTGTAAAAGTTTTACCTCTACTTTTGTGGAACCGAAATATGTTATAGCTGGGGTAGATTCGAAAGGTCGTACGGTACGTGTTGAAATAGCGCTAATTTTATAAACATCGATTTATATATATATATTATTATAGATTTATAAGACTAGTGAATTAAGATACGCGTCTTAACGCAAGACTAATGTAGTGAAATAAGCATGAGATGTTCGCGTTCGAGGACTAAATAGGGACCTTCTGCTGGTTGAACTAGCTACATATCTTTTGTTGAGTGAACAGTAATTTTTTCTGTCTCAGTTTTGACTTGAGCTGTTTTCTACCATGGGGGGCTTCCGGGTGAAATGTTAATCGGTGATCGACATTTGAAAAAAATATCCTATTTACTCGCTAAATATAAAATGTTTGATTCCAATGATAAACGAACTAGACACTCCACACAGGCATGACCCATTCATTTCTGGGTTGAGCTAAGTGAACTCGTTGGTCCGAAAGTGCTTGTCTTAATAAAAAAAAATTGGGTTTGCTTTTTTTTTCTTTCGTTACAGGGTTATGCCACCATTACCTGAAAAGTTCCGGAGACTCTATTCAGTCTCCTAACTATCCGCAAAAGTATGAAACAAATCTCGATTGTAAATGGACGCTAGAGGGCCCGTTGGGAACAGGAATTGTGCTGCAGTTTTCGGATTTTGAAACAGAGTCAAACTTCGACGCGGTGCAGGTGCTCTCTGGTGGCAGGACAGAAGAATCGAGCGTTTCGCTCGCACAGCTTTCTGGAAAGCAAAATATTTCCTCGAAAAGCTTTATCACAGGAAGTAATCTAATGATCGTCAAGTTCAAATCGGACGCCGCAGCGGAGAAGAAAGGATTCCGTGCCAGCTGGAAAACTGAAACATTAAAATGCGGTGGAGAGTTGTTTGCTCACTCATCGGCTCAAGTGCTCAATTCACCAGGTTATCCAAGCGCCTATCCAGGCGGCATCGAGTGTCTTTGGGTAATTACAGCACCGCATAATAAACTTGTGTCCCTAGAGATTGTCGACCTCGACCTCGAGGTAACCGACTCAATACTACTTCGAGACGGTGCCACTCCAAGCGACACCTTGCTCTCTAAACTTGGAGGAACAACTGAAGAGAACCCTAAATTTATTTTGTCAACCCAGAATCGTGTCTATATCTATTTTAAGACTGACACTGCCCACGCCGCTCGCAAGGGATTCTCTATCCGTTTTCGAGCGGGATGCCAAGTAGATATCATTGCGGATCAGGGAAGCATTAACTCACCTGCGTTTGGCGTCGGCAAGTATCCGTCAAATCAGAATTGCGCATACCGCATTACCCGCCCCGGTGGAGGTCCAATCTCACTAAAGTTCGACAAGTTCCTCGTGGCTAGCGATGACCATATTCAAGTGTATGATGGTCAGAATTCGAAATCGGTAAAGCTCCACGCCGGACAAGGTTACTCCGGAGCGACGCGTCCCACTCACACTCTGACAGCAACTTCGGGATCTTTGTACGTAGTTTTTCAGTCGAACTCACTTAATACAGCAGCTGGATGGCAAGCGAGTTTCTCATCTGATTGTCCGCTCCTGGCTGTTGGAGAACGGGCCCTTGCTTCGAGTCGCGATACGACCTTTGGGGCCGAAGTTACCTATACGTGTCCGAGTGGAATGGAGTTTAGTAGCGGTCGTAAGAAGATTATCGCCGAATGTCTTCCTGGAGGCAAATGGTCTGTGCCGCACGTTCCAGCCTGTCAGGAAATCTACTGTGGGCCCGTCCCGCAGATAAGCAGTGGGTTCGCGGTAGGCGCAACTAACGTCACTTTCCGAGGTCAGGCTACTTACCAGTGCTACGCCGGCTTTACGTTTCCGGGAGGACTGCAGCAGCAGACGGTCAGGTGAGTTGTCAAATTAGGTCACACGTTACTGCTGCTGCCGAACGCATCGACGAGCAATCACCACCCAATTAGCGCAAGGTAAGCGCTTGCCTACCTGTTTGCCAGTCGGCTAACGAGCATTAGCAAACCGTTCAGCCTATTCCAAACAACAGCTGAAGAAGCCAACTACTAGAAGAGCGCCAGCGGCTTCTCTACGGCTCGCTTGACGGCAGCTCGAATTCTGCTAACGCGCCTCTCTTTTTTCTCAACCATTAGCTTTTGGAAGAAAAGCGTTTTGTAGATAGAAATTCAGAGATATATACATAAATCGGGAAGTTAAATAAAAAAGAGAGAAACCAAGCAGAGTGACGGGCAGGCAGGCAGGCTTATTGTTCGAAGACGTCCTGTTGTTGTCGATAATTTTTTACCCGGCCCACCTTTGTCAGATTTTTACTCAACTACATTTTCTATCATGCGATTTGAATGATTACGTCGATGATTATGATGCCGATGGCTTGCTTCTAATAGTAATAATTGTTAAAGCAGTAGTTCCGTTAATATTATAATAAGTATGCACACTGGGACCCAACGCACTAACGACTGAGGGGCTGACTAATTACTGTATAATGGACAATGTTTAGGTGCAATGAGTATGGTAACTGGGATAACCTTCCGGTGTGTATGGCTTCATCATGCCCACCTTTGCCTGAGGTCGCGAATTCCATCCCGAGATTCCTCAATGGGGCTGGAAGAAACTATGGGACTGTCGTTCGATTCGACTGCGAGCCAGGATACAGGAGAAGTGGTTAGTCACTCCTAATTGAATTATTTCATCTATTAATTTAGCCTTAAGCTATACAAGGTGACATGGTTTCTAATGGAACGTGTGCCTATACGTTATAAAAATCATTTTAAGGCTCATGACTAAATCAATCAGAAAGACAAACCGTAATCCTTGCTACGATCTAGAGTCTGCTAGAATAAAACGGGTTTTTACCATACTTTTTCGCGTAACTATACTACCGTAATAACAATGAAACTGTAGACTTTTTGTTGCGGAATAACCATCTATTGTTTTCACAGATCTAGTATGATCCATTTGCTTAAAGATGTGATATTAAAATACTTGTTGATATTTTCTTGTGTATTCAAAGATTTAGAATGTACAATCATTGTATGTTTTTTGTTGATCCAATCAACTCAGGCTATCCTGTGGTCGTGTGCAAAAGCAATGGACAGTGGAGCGCAAACCCACCAACTTGTCAAAGAGCCCAATGCTACGAGGTGCCAAAAGTTGACAATGGCCAGGTTATGATGGACAAGAAAACCTATCTTTTTGGGGACAAGTCCAAAGTTGCTTGTAATAGAGGTTACAAACTCGAAGGACAGGCAACGATAACGTGCGGGGCAGACCAAACATTCGAAAATGTGCCCGCGTGCGTTGACATCAATGAATGCAATTCACCTACGGCCTGTGATTCCGCCTCGACAATATGCATTAACACTCCAGGCAGCTTCTTCTGCAAATGTAAGTATGAAAAGTAAATGACTCGTTTACTTATCAACTAAATCATAATTGATCTAATGAAAACAGGGGTCTATTATGGTGGTAACCAAACATTCGATAAGAACGTTAATGTGATAATACTTCAATGTCCCCTAAGATATATCCATGTATTCTTACTGTATTCGACAGTTGTCAGAATGTCAATCGAGACCTATTGAACGTTAATCTTTATTAGAGGCACCGAGTTGCCAGCTTGTTTTCAAGTGGGTCTAAGCTACGTAACATATAGTCACTGCCCTGGAAACACGTATTATTCTAATAGATAGTGTAGTCATCGTTGGACGCAATGCTTCTTCCTCCGTAGCGCAGTGACACTATATTTAACAGAAACATTAACGCTAGCCTTCGTCGTTGTCGAACTTAATTGGTTTCTCGTTTTGGCTGGTCTTTTCCCTAGAGCGTTTTAGGCTTACCGCGGTATCGGCAGTTCTCCTATTGTCAACATCGCATGGACATTTTACCGCTACTATTAGCGTAACCCGTTGATGGAATCATGCCTACAGTAGCGCAAGAAGGCGTCAAAACAAAAAAGAAACTAACTTTCAGTCATTATTCATGGTTGTCGCCAACAATATCGCATAGCGCCGCGCACTGATTGCCAGACATGTCGTACTACAAATACCTGTATTGTATGGCTGTACGCTTACAATTGGGGAATAAAGCTATCACGACAGCTGATTGGTCTGCGGCCCGTGTGGCCAGAAGTTACGCATATGTAGCTTTTGTTCAGATCCATGAGGCATTCCGATTTAGCAAACGCAATCAATTTTTACCTTACTTTCACCTACTTCTATCAACCGCTTTATCTTTTCGTGATTTTTCCTGCCAGAGTTACGCACACTTAAATGATCACGATTATGATACGTAGAAGACCATATAAATGTATACGTGCATATACTACTTACGAAGCTCTACCTGCTCAGATATTGTGCACTACTGCTTGTTTATTATAAAATCTGGGCCACGGCCGGCCTCGTATCGCCAACTTCAATCCTTCAAGCATTAGCCGCTGTTATGATATCTGCTTGCAACTATCCTCCCAGTATCGCCCAGTAAGTTTTAAGCGGTTCCCTTTGTTCAGTCCAATCCAATGGCTTGTCTCAGACTTTTGGTACTGATGTCGTTATATTATCACGCCGCTGTTAATTATGATATTTTTGTGCATGAAAATTATCTTTCTAGAAAGGCGTTCCATGCTATACTTATGATTCTAACGTAGTCCGCAGTGTGCAGACCCCGTACGGCTACTGCGACTGTTGTTGTCATCGTCCGTTCTTTTTGTTGGCGCAATTATTTTAGTCATGTTTACGTTACCTGTTCGTGTATATATATATATATATAAACTGGAGTATATATATGCCAATTACATGACGAAGTGTGCTTAGTTTATATTTTCGAAAAGGGAAAAGCAATTAATTCAACTTCCTAGCAGCAACATCCAATAGTACGAAATTCAAACAAGATAACTTTGCGTAATTTTTTTTATCTCTAAACTGAGATGAAATATTCATGTTATCTCACGCTCATTGATGGTCAGTATTTACACTTCACAATAAGGCTAAAAAGAATACTCTACATTTGTCCAATTGTAGCTGGTTGGTGTCCTAATGTTCGAGTGATGGCTAATTGATCGCAGCGGCCACGCATTTTTACCACCCACTGCAGAATATCGATGATACGAAGTAGAAGAATAAGTGCTCAAAGGTACATGCGTATCTCAAAGGGCGTATGTATACAGAAACAGCGACTGCTAGCTATCGATAAAACGGGAGAAAATTTTCAAGTGCAAATTACTGTCCCTTATTATTATCATTGTCGTCTGCTGTCTCGCTCTTCCCGAACCACCGACGTGTCCATCGGCCTCGTGCCACGATACGATTTGGACTTTAATCTGACATCGTCATGGATGTGTCGATGGTCGCGTCGATAACCATAGGATAAGAGTGCAGTCGCCTCTCGTCAACAGATCAGGACAGCGGCGGCAAACATAGTGGCTTGCTTTTGTGGCGGTAGTGACTGACAGATCTTTGACAGAATATAGAGCCGACACTCACTGAGCGGGCACGCATCGCTTCTCATACCGGTAATGGTGGTGTAATCTGAGCGGAACCCGTATCTGACCGATTCGCTTTTGGTCTCTCCCACCCTCTTTTTCCTGTTTCGTTCATCGCTGCTTCCCGTCATCGCTGCCTTCGTCGACGGCATCTTCGGCAACTTCGTCTCAACGTCTGCCTGCGTCCGAATTGCCGCTTCATTTGCTGGTGCCGACTGCGTTCCATCAATTTTGCAAAGATCCGACATATTTCGAAACTGCCCGCGGCTAATTGGGTCATCGCGAATTCGTCCAAACACACACACGGGCAGTCCGCCACGCAGCCCTAGATGTGGTGACTTAAAACGGCATAAGCGCTGCTGGCAGGCCTACCACCTCGGCATTACGCCACTGTACCGCTCTCTTTGCAATGGAACGCCTGCGCCTCTTTCGGTGTCCGTACTTTGTCCGAGTGGTTGTTGTCGCTGCTGCAGTGATAATGACAGCGTTAGCTCTGGCTTGCGGTATTACTGTCGTGAAGCGGAGCCACAGCGGCGAGACACTCACTGAGCCAGCCAATAGTTGTTACAATAATGGGGAGGGGGTAAGGAAGAATAGGGAAAAATGCAGAGAACTAACAATTCAAGCGGCGGAAACCAACAGTTGGTACAAACTAAGTATCAACTATTCTGGTTTCCTAGCTCTCCCGGTTACAATGAACGAGAGCCCAGGCATACGAGAGACGAGTGGCGGTCCCGCTGTTGTCGCGATGTCCGGCGGTGGCGCTAGTAGTAGCTCCCGTTGTTGTTGAATTAGACAATGAAGGAACTACCGATCGAACAGTTAGTTCACGACGACCAGAAGTACCATAAAGTTCCCCGTAGTAGATAAGTGGATAGTGCGCCTACCTACCAATCGTGCTACTCTTGGTTCGAATCCGGGCATCGACACAGTTTCTTTCGTGCTGGGATCTAATGGGATGCCTAACGACGGTACCGAACATTCGAGACCTTCTGTTTAGAAGTTCTAAACGTGGTACGAATTATAGTAATCATCGTCGTGGTTGTTACGACAGCCGAAGTAGCAGCATTCGGTAACATGCACTCCTTGACCTGTGCTGCGAATGTTGTATCATTTCGATAATATGTTTGTTTTTTTGATCGTTCTCCATTTTTAGATAAGCATAACTGCTCATAGACAGACAAATACATCCGTAGCCGAATAGCCTACTGCTACGAAGTAGTCGCATAGATGTCTACATACGTACAGATTCAAATCGTCACGGCTCACGGAAGGTAGCGTTCTTGATAAGTCTGCATATTTAGATCTGTGAAGGGGGTCCGGATCGACAACACGGGTGCCACAAGTGAGATCACAACACGTCACCTTAAGCGTGAAATATCCGCGTACCACCTTTGAGACGGGGCGATGCTCACTTCACGGTAAATACGTACCACAACTGAGTTATAGGCAGCTAGCAGTTACAAGACATTCTAATTCATGAACTGACGCATATTAAAAAGCAGGGAAAGCGAATACCGACGCAGTCTGCAGAGATGCTTTTAAGTCCTTCATATTGTCATGACAAGTTAAAACTCGCCACTCCTATGCAAAGCAGCAAATGTGGCGCAATTTAAGCAAAGTTTACTTGCCACATATTATGTGCTATTGAGTAGTTATGTTAGCTTCGTTTCCCCCCTTCATGCTAATTTCGATTCGGAAAGTTCAACTTTTAGTTTGGTTATGGAAAGGTTTGTATCGACAGCTATTTTATTTCTAGTCTTCTCTCTATTTTGCATATACGTTTATACGGGTAAATAGAAACTACCATTGTTCCTAGAAAACGAGATGGCAATCCGTGATTAGCTGTAGTTACAGCAGTAGAAGGCCCCACGACAACCCGAAACACATCCATTTATTTTCATCATTTTGATCATTATCCAGCGTGTTTAAAGCATAATAGATCAGAACAAAAATATTAGACACGCATAAAAATAACGCAGGAACTTCACAAGGGATTTAGCTAAGGCTGGGTAGTGTTTCGTAAGATAAAAGATTAACTATCATTTTAATAAAAATGGTTCACTTGTATACCTAAAACTTTTCATCCGGTAGCGGAAAAATCCGTCTTAGGTACGTGTTGTATTAGATTCTGATAATTTACCTGCTCAAGAAGAGTCTAGAAAGGGCGCACACAGCTGCGGAAGAACGATGATATGTTTAATTCTATTTTCAGTCATTTTCTGCTAACATGCTTGCAGGCAAGAAGGGTTTCGAGCGTAACATGGACTGCCGGCCAGTTGGAGATCTCGGTGTAGCAAATGGGGCAATTCCAGATCACGCTATTTCAGTGTCGTCGTTTGAGACCGGTTACCCAAAGGAGAAAATCCGCCTGGACGGCGAAGGAGGCTGGTGTGGTTCAATTCCTCGCGCTGGCGAGAATCACGCCCAGATTGATTTGTCTGCCCCCACAGTGATTCGAGGATTACGCACCCAGCCGGTGTTCCGTGCTGACGGAGCGCAGGCGTTCCCGATTTCGGTACGAATTCAATATACAGATGAAGAAACCGATGCATTCCGAGACTACGCCGACCCGATGGGCCGTCCGATGGAATTCCAGCTGACGCCAAATGGAGGATCTGGACTGGCCGTCATTAATTTGCCAATACCAATCGAAGCTCGATTCATTCGAGTGCTTGTTGTAGAGTATGTGGCTGCACCTTGCATGCGGTTAGAACTGATGGGATGCTCTCGACAGGATTGTATTGACGTCAACGAGTGTCTCAAAAATAACGGTTTGTTTTTCCCACCTTTGCTAATGTCGTCTGTACAACTTGTGCAGTGTTTTTTTTTTTACTATTAATCCTAACTGTAACATCAGTAACACATTTGAATAGCGTGCTTGTAATAGATGCCATATCCGAACCGTCTCTCTCGAATCGTTCATTAGATTTTCATGCATTTAGCAGAAACTCTGCCCGAAGCAAGTTATGCCTGTCCAAAAGCGCATTATTATAAATCTTCCTTGTATTTTATTAAAATAAACCACTGAAATGAATTAGGTAACAGAATTATGGCCGGCCTACTCTGTAAAGATCTGACGACAATAAAAAAACAAGCAAACCATATAAGACTACTCATGTTATAAAGCATCCTTGCTTATTTCACGAGCACCCGCATACATATGGGCGCATATACTGACACAAATTATTTGTTGGCTTCCAATAGTGTAGTAATACCTTAATGCAACTGCGCATTTTTACCAAGATATCATAATACAATGGAGTCATAAAAAAAAATGTATCCGCCCACAATTGTCTGGTGGATAATTATTCCGCTATTAAAGGCCAGTAATCCGCGGATACGGAGATATAGCATAACGGGTTTTCACGGACGGATTATAGATCTTTATCACTCCCTCGTTAATCTTAGTTTCATATTCTGCAGGCGGCTGCCACCAAAGGTGCGTGAACAGTCCGGGCAGTTTCCACTGCATGTGCAACGTAGGCTATGAGCTATATAGCAAAAATGGCACATCGGGTTTCTTCATTCCCTCGAGTGAAACAGGCTTCCGCGATGGTGATACATATGCTCTTAACAAAACCTGTGTTGGTGCGTATTTTCAAAATACTTGACAATAAATATCAAATCTATCAAAATTGACCAAAAATCCGCTATCTTAAGACTTTACTAGGGCTTCATTAGCTATGTCCGACGATAGACCACCAAACGTCTATAAAGTTTAGGCTGTATCCGTGCATCTAAACCAACAGACCCTTTGAGAGCAATGGTGATTGCGTGCTTCACTAATCAAGATTTTGACGGACAAACTTATAGGCACAGTTGAATGCTGACTATACCGGCATTTTAACTTTTCAGCCAAGGAGTGCCCCGTGTTGCGTGCTCCGGAAAACGGACGAATGCTCTCTACTCTTGAGCGTTTCCGATTTGGAGACGTAGTGAATTTTCAATGTGACTTTGGGTACGTGCTGCATGGAGCCCAGTCGTTGACCTGTACTTCTGGAGGTAATTGGAACGGTACTATGCCAGCGTGCCTTCCTGCCAAGTGTACTGGATTACACGATGATCCAACACAAGGCCTTTCGTTAAGATCCAATGGCCATGATAATTATATCATGTTCCAGGATAATGTCACAATTTCTTGTTCGGAGACCGGCCGCCCTTTGAGGAACACAGCAACTGCTGCTTTTCGTCAATGCGTCTACAGCCCTCGACCGGGGAAGCCCGATTATTGGCTTGCTGGAGCACCTCCTGCTTGTGAACGTGAGCTATACTGATATTAATAATATTCTGTTTAGATGCAACAAACTGTACCAAGTGGACGTATAATGATCCTCAATCTATTAAACAACTACATTTTCTCGTCGATTTATGGCCTACTATTAAGACAATGCAAAGGTTGTCTCGAATCGGCATTGTTTGTATAACTTTTGAAGTAAAAATTCGTAATCTATGTGTTTTGTTGTCTATTCCCAGGTGTGGATTGCGGAGCTCCTCCAGACAGTATTGGTGCCACTTATGGCTTCCACGTTGACACGAAATATCGGGCTTCCTTCTTTTTTGGCTGCGAAGAAACATTTACACTCGTCGGCAAAAGCAGCCTTAACGACAATGTGATTCGGTGCCAAGAGGACGGTTCGTGGGATTTTGGCGACCTACGCTGCGAAGGACCGGTATGTCAGGATCCGGGTCGACCTGCTGACGGATATCAGATCGCGAATAGTTATGAACAGGGCTCCGAAGTTACCTTTGGTTGTACCCGACCCGGATACGTGCCTTACAATACTGAACCAATCACATGCGTCAAAAGTGAGTTTTTCATTTGTGTTTGCATAGATTTATGAACTAAGCCTTCGGCGAATGACCGATATTCGATGCTGACGATTCGTACGTCTCTGACCATTTCAGACGCTGATTGTAAGGTCGTAAAACCTTTGGGACTCACCTCTGGCAAAATACCCGACAGTGCCATCAACGCAACGTCTGCTAGAAGCAACTACGAGGCTAAAAATGTTCGGCTTGGATCAACAACCGGGTGGTGCGGCACCCAAGAGGCCTTCACTTACGTTACCGTTGACCTTCAGAGGGTACATCACATCAAAGCCATAATGATTAAAGGAGTTATCACAAACGATGTCGTAGGTCGGCCCACCGAACTGCGTTTCTTTTATAAGGTCAAGGAAAACGAGAACTTTGTCGTCTATTTTCCAAACTTCAATTTGACGTCAAGGGAGCCGGGCAACTACGGAGAGCTCTCCGTCATTGATTTGCCATTGAGTGTGAAGGCGCGCTACGTCATTCTGGGCATTGTCAGCTATAATAAAAACCCATGCCTAAAGTTTGAACTGCTTGGCTGCGAGGATTCGCCGGACGACGTTTTGCTTGGTTACGAGAATGCCAACCCGGTTTGCGTGGATAAGGAGCCACCTCGTTTCGAGAATTGTCCCACTCATCCTGTCGTTGTGGAGTCGTCGCCGGACGGAATACTCCCGGTCGATTTCGTCATTCCGACAGCCACTGATAATTCCGGTCGTGTCGCTAGGATGGAGATAAAGCCATTGGGTTTCCGCCCCCCCCAAATGGTGTTCGAAGACACGGTTGTTCAGTATATTGCATATGATCACGATGGCAACGTGGCTGTATGTGTCGTTAATATCACTGTGCCTGATTATACTCCACCGTCAATTAAATGTCCACAGTCCTACGTTGTTGAGTTAACAGAAAAACAGGACAGCTATGTAGTGAACTTCAACGACACCCGCTTACAGATCATCGCTATAGATAAATCTGGCCACGTAGACATTAACATAACGCCGGAGTCAGCTGTAATTCCTATTGGTGGTTACCGTAATGTCACGGTAACTGGCACTGATAGGTTCGGAAATCAGGCTTTCTGCTATTTCCAGGTTTCGGTACAAGCCACAAGTTGTGTTGACTGGTCATTGCAAGCACCGACGAATGGCATCGTCAATTGCCTTCCCAATGATGAAGGTACGGGCTATCAATGTCTCGCAACGTGTAAGAATAAATACCGTTTCACCGACGGCGAAAAAGCCAAGACATTTGAATGTAAAAACAAAGGGGCTTGGGTTCCTAAATCAATTATTCCTGATTGTGTCTCAGAAGAAACAAACGAAGCGTCCTACGACGTGACCGCACAGGTGGAATATCGATCTGGTGGGGCTGTGCACGAATCATGCCTTGGCCACTACACAGGATACGTACAAACTTTTTATGGTCGTTTAAATCGCTTGTTATCAGACCGCTGCTCAGCTATCAATGTGCAAATGGATCTGTCGTTCCATAATACGACCGCAACAATTAAAAGTGATAACGAACTTGTTATTGACTACGTTGTACGAATTGTACCCGTAGTACATCAGAAGTTACTGTATGACCTCTGTGGTTCAACACTTGGGCTCATCTTCGATTTAAGCGTCCCCAGTACATCGGCCCTGATCGAACCTATTCTAAACATTAGTGCACAAGATGTTGGTGGATCTTGCCCTACAATTCAAGCAAAACGTTCGACAATTAAGCGTGGCTTCACCTGCGAATACGGAGAGGTATTAACAAACGAGACCGGAATCGTACCTCGGTGTCTCCATTGTCCGGCGGGTACTTTTGCCTCGGAAGATGAAAGATGTAGCTTCTGTCCACGGGGGTACTACCAAGACCTAACAAGGCAAGCAAAGTGCAAGAAGTGTCCTGACGGAACCCACACTAAAGAGGAAGGAAGCAAGTCTCTCAGTGATTGTGTACCCGTTTGTGGTTACGGCACATATTCTGCAAACGGCCTCGTCCCGTGTCTTCAATGCCCAGAGAATTCATATGCTGGAACTCCCCCACCTGAAGGCTTCCGTGAGTGCACTAAATGCCCTCCGAACACGTTCACATATTCTGATGGAGCTGCAAGTGCTGGTAGTTGCAAAGCCAAATGCCACCCCGGAACCTACTCCGAAACCGGCCTTGAGCCATGCTACGAGTGTCCGGTTAACTTCTACCAATCGCAGGACGGTCAAACCCAATGCATACGGTGTGCTTCCAACCAGAAAACCAATATGCCCGGTCAAATGACACCTGAGGCTTGCCAGCCGGTGCAATGTAATCCTACGATCTGTAAAAACGGCGGCCTCTGCTTGGCCCAAAACCATCAGGCTACGTGTTATTGTCCTGCTGGTTTCACCGGTCAGTATTGTGAGACTGATATGGATGAGTGCGCGTCAGGTCCTTGCTACAATGGTGGCTCGTGTATTGATCGGCCTCAAGGCTACAGCTGCAAATGCGCTCCTGGATATTCTGGCTTCCAGTGCGAAGTTGAGAAGTCAGAGTGCGACGTGCCTAACATTTGTCCTGAACGCGCCATGTGCCAGGATTTGCCTGGGTCTGGCTCAGTAAATTGTCTCTGCCGTTCTGGGTATGAAGGCGCTACTTGCAACGTGACTGTCAATCCATGCACCGTTGGTCAGACACCCTGCCATAATGAGGCGAACTGCATCCCACTAAAACACGGCCGATACAAATGTAGCTGCGCCCCAGGATGGGTCGGACCTAATTGCGAGACAAATATCGACGATTGTGCCGAGAACCCATGCTTACTTGGGGCTGCCTGTACAGATCTTATCAACGACTTTGTGTGTGAATGCCCTCCCGGTTTTACTGGTAAACGATGTCAAATTAAGCAAGATCTTTGCTCAACTAACCCCTGTGGCGATAACGGCATATGTATTGATCGGATGTTTAGACACGAGTGTATATGTAAGCCTGGATGGAGTGGGCCTGCTTGCGAGGACCAAGTCGATGAGTGCCTCTCATCACCATGCCAGCATAACGGAGTTTGCATAGATGTGATTAATGGATTCCGTTGCCAATGCGACGCCGGATTCACTGGAATGGCGTAAGTAATATCTGTGAGTTTTTGACTGCTTCATTTAAACCTGAGTAATCTTTCCAGGGCATATCTGAAGAAGGCTCCCGTAAAAACTCCCACTCATAACTTCACAGTGCTGCCAAAGTATTTATAAATTTAGCTTAGTTAATAAGTAGTAAGGTTTTTTCAGGCACAAAGAGCTGTTATGTCCTTTGCTGAGGTTCCCAATGGCTGAATCACAATAGAGCACCCAATTCCAGAGGATACCTTCCAGATGAATCCATTGCGTTCCCTTTCTCTTTATCTTAGATACACTCGAGCTAATAAAACTTAAAAGAAAAAGTAAGCTACTCTTAAAAACGCGAGTTCGGCTTAATGTATTGAAGCTGAGTATGCGTCACCTGTCTTTCACAAACCTGCTCTGCTGCTCAGTCAAGCTCTAAAATCTCTATTCTATATTAGAGGAAAAAATCTAGAAATCATCTTGGCTCTTGTCGATACACTCCAAGCCAACTTTTGTAAATATTCGTACCCATAAGTGGTTAAGTCTGTCTCAAAAACGTATCAGCTGACTCATCCCAAGGTGCTTAAGGTTGGTTCTTTGATCCGAAAGACCTAACTCCCGATCTTCTGATACCAGACATCCTTTTTTTTGTGTCAAAGCGTATTGTATTGTTGCTTAGAGAACTGCAAATAGGCGTGTAACTGACCTGCACTACAGGTAATACGGAACAATGCCTTCAGTCCGATCTCTAGAGCTTCTCTCTATATCTACCAATAATATTATTATACCATATTCCGGATTCATACTTGAAGTCACTGACCTATAAATCTTAATGCTGATAATGTTCAGCTTTAAAGCGAACTCGTAGCGTTTTCTTTAAATTACTCGTTTTGTTATCAGACTGCAATGAATTACCTGATACACAACCAACTCCACAATGCCCTGAATATCCGCTCCCTATAACTTGAGATCTGCTACTTAATCATCTGAAAAGCTTTGTTTCTAACGCAGTTTTAATATAATTTTAATTTTTTTTTATTGCCGTGTGCCTATCATTGTATCGTTTATTTGTATATTAAATAATCTATATATTTATTACATTCCGATTGACGCCGCTAATTCTACTACCATACGATTGTTAAAGGTCTGTTGTTGCAGACACGATAATTTTATCTAGTATATAACATGTCTTTAAATTGTAATTAAAACGAAGGTTGAATGGTTAACAATAAATTCATCCTTATACTATGCGCGGTTATGTAGCTTTTTGTGCTGTTACGAGGATCCGAGATGGCTTATCTTTCTGACTGCGGCTCGTTCTTTATTTTTCTGATCGTTTCTAGGTGTCAGCATCATGTCGATGACTGCAAATCAGACCCGTGCCAAAATGGCGGCAGTTGTATAGATCAAATCGATGGTTTTACCTGCGAGTGTCGCCCAGGTTTCGTGGGTCTTCAGTGCGAAGCAGAAGTAGACGAATGCATTTCGGGACCCTGTCACGCAACTGGCACCCGCCAATGCATAGACAAGGATAATGGGTTTGAGTAAGTCCCTCCAAAAGTGCCCATATCTGGCACTGGTTTCTAAAGATCCAAACACATAATTATATGTTAATTGCTTTTCGAACATCGCAGCATCGACTGGTCAATTCAATCTACAACGATATCCAATTTATTCATATTGTCTTAAACCAAAATTTCATTTATGCTTTTAGATTACGTCTAAGCAACCGGATAATTTGATAATACTTTGAAGATACTGATAATATAGTTAAGCGCAAAGTAATTTCTGCACTGTTTTATCCTTCTATGTACAACAGATGCGTTTGCAACGCAGGCTATACTGGTGACTACTGTGAAATAGACATTGACGAATGCGAATCGTCCCCGTGTGAGAATGGAGCAAAATGTATCGACAAAATTGGCAGCTTCTATTGCCACTGCCCGCCTGGCTGGACGGGGGAGCGTTGTGAGAAGGATATAGGCGGATGCGATTCTAGCCCGTGCCTTAACAATGCACACTGCATCGACCTGTTCGAGGATTTCTTCTGCGTCTGTCCAAGCGGAACAGACGGCAAACGCTGCCAAACATCACCTCAACGTTGCATTGGTGATCCATGCATGCACGGCGCCTCCTGTCAAGACTATGGCAGTGGACTTAACTGTACGTGCGCACCAGAATATACCGGAGTCGGCTGCCAATACGAATTTGACGTAAGTTAATTAAAGATCTTAAAATCTACTTAGTTCGATTAAATTTGATGCTGCCTTTATGTGAATGCATATTGTGTGACGATATTGTACCGTCGACTTATCAAGGTAGCTAAGCGACTTTAAAATGAGACTACCTTTCACCGTTTCTATCTCATCCATACGGCCACCGTGTTACGAATTAACCGGAGAATTTCTTTTTCATTATCAATTTAGGCTTGTGCAGAGGCCGTATGCCAGAACGGCGGCAAATGCCGGCGAGAAAACAAGAGCTATTCCTGCGAATGTTTGCCTGGCTACGGTGGCAAAAACTGTGAGAAGGACACCCAGGACTGCAGCCCCACGTCATGTCCGCCTAACGCGGAATGTATTGATTTGACAAACGGTTTCTTCTGCAAATGCCCGTTTAACTACACTGGTGAGGACTGCCGCAAGCCGATCTCTGTGAACTACGATCTCTACTTCAACGATGAGAGCCGCTCATCGGGGGCGGCTCTTAACACTCCCTTCGAATTGGGCTCATACAGTCTAACAGTTGCTCTTTGGGTACAATTTAACAACCCAGGCAGTGTAGGCACAGTGCTCAGCTTCTACTCTGTCAATGATCCGCACAAAGTCCTTAACAAGACACGACTTCTTAAGATTGACGACTCCGGCGTGCTGGTGTCTCTTTTTCCACAGCACACTGCTGACATCTACATACCATACCTTGACAATGTTCCCATAAATGATGGCAACTGGCATCATATCGTTTTTATTTGGGACGGTGTAGAAGGCACACTCACATTAATCACAGACACGGCGGTTGCCGGGGTTGTCACTGGTTACGTCCAAAAGGACAAACTACCTACTTATGGCTGGATGAGCCTCGGTGCGCCCGTCGACGTTGAAGATATGCGCGTAAAAGCCGAAAGCGGTTTCCATGGTCGGTTGTCACGAGTGAACGTCTGGGAACGCACTCTCGATTTTTCGCAAGAGATTCCTGGCCAGTTCCGCTCGTGTCAGAACTCACCTGTTCTCTTCCATGGACTTCAGCTTCGTTGGGCTAATTACGACAAGATTGTTGGAACCGTCGAACGTCAAGTGCCTGGTCACTGCGGCGAACAATCATGTACGACAACCGTAACAGAGGAGTGTATCGCTAAAGGAGGAGATAAGGTGCCACCTAAGGTCGTTTATTGTCCCCCGGATATGTGGGTCGTTACTCCTAACGAGTCGATCGCCCTCCAATGGGAGGAACCCGAGTTCTCTGATGAAACTGGAATTAAACCGGAAGTGACCGAATTAAACAGCATTCGTTCTGGCCACACATTCACCAAAGGTATCTTCGACCTCTCCTACGTTGCTAAGGATACCTATGGTAACCAGGCCCAATGTGACTTCCGAATTCATGTGTTAAGCGATTTCTGCCCGCTTCCAACAGCGCCCGTGGGTGGGTACAGGCAGTGCTCCGACTGGGGACCTGGCAGTCGTTTTAAAGTGTGTAGCATCGGATGTGAGGACGGCCTCGAGTTCTCCGAACATGTTCCTCAGTTCTACGTATGTGGTGCCGAAGGCTTCTGGAGACCTAACGATCGCCCCGAATTGCCCTTCACCTTCCCCGCGTGTGCTCGTAAGTCGAATCTTAGCTGCATTCTAAAATGTCTTATAAGATACTGCGTACTTAGACAGTTTATTTGTACTAATGCTAGCTTTCACTGTAAATATATTTCAGGAGAAGATCCGAGTAAGGAGGCACCTTAAATTTGAGGATATTTTGCTATGATATGATATGATTTGAAAAACGTTTAGTTTCTAACGTCCGTACACTGCTTTGATTTTCAGCTAAACGGCCTGCTCAGCGTCTCTTCCGCATATCTATGGATTTCACTTCTACCGTTGTATGTTCTGATTCGGGCAAAAAGATCCTGCGCTCCAGAATTACGGAAGCCCTTTTGCAAGTGAACAATGAATGGCGATTCTGTGTGGATCAATATCCGCCACAGTGCACCGGAACCCATCTTTCTGTGAAATGTCATAAGAACGGTGGGAGGGCAAAACGTCAAGCTGACAAAGAGGACGAGCCAACGAGCATCTACGCGCTAGAGATAACTTTCCCAGCACACAAGGACCCGGTAGTTCGCACTGGTAGCCAGCAGAAGGCTACCGTCAGGACGGTTGTCGAACAAGCAATCCTACAAGCTAATATCTTTGATGTACGCGAAACGCTGCCTAACGTCCAACCTGACCTCACCTCACTGAAGATTAGCACCGATTATTCGTGCATGCCCGGAGAGGTACCCGTTAGCACCTTTTGCGTAAAATGCTCTCTGGGTACTTACTACAGCAATGCCACCAACCAGTGCGAACTATGTCCAAACGGCTACTTCCAGGACGTCAGTGGTCAGCTCGTCTGCAAACCGTGCCCGGAGATTAACGGCAAGCAAGGCATCACTGCCAGCCTCGGCGCCCGAACTGTGGATGAATGCAAACAACGCTGTACGCCAGGCCAGTACTTCGATGCCACGGTAGGCTTCTGCAGGCCATGCGGCTATGGCTTCTATCAGCCTGAAGAAGGTTCGTTTAAATGTGAACCTTGTGGTCACGGGCTGACGACTCGAACTAATGAAGCTGCTTCCATTCAAGAGTGTCGAGAAGAATGTAAGCCCGGTCTTCAGCTCACCGTTACTGGCCAATGCGAACCTTGCCCCAAAGGCACCTTCCGTACTAGTGGTATGCCTTCCTGTCAACAATGTCCTAAGGGCAGGACAACAGCGGACTTTGGTTCTACCTCAGTAGAGCAGTGCTCCTTAGAGGTATGCCAGATAGGACACTATCTCAACGTCACTCGCAACTACTGTATGCCGTGCCCGAAAGGAACCTACCAAGACGAAGAGCAGAGAGACTCCGAGTGCAAGCCATGTCCTGCAGATACCACAACCGATACAGTCGGAGCCACCGACCCGTCTTTTTGCTCCGATCCATGCATGGTCAACGGAGAAAAACGCGTGTGTCACAAAAATGCCTATTGCGTATTTCTTGAAGATGAGCAGGACTTCGCTTGCAAATGCATGCCCAAGTTTAAATACAGCAACGAAACGGCCGAATGTATCGGTAAGTCTTTGAGTTGCTCTCCCACTTTCGTCAGCAACATAGGCAACATTCGTTTCTATACTTTTTTAATTATTGCAGAGCTATTTGATTGCAAGAACTTATAAGGACTACCTAGAAAATCGTCTGCTACAAATAAGTTTTACAGAGTATTGTTTAGTCTAAACATTCATCTCATTCATATAACAGCAAACCCTGTTAGAACCTAATCGGACGAGGTGAAACGAATAGGGTCATTAACACGCGTGCAATGCGACCGTTTTACAGATGTTTGCGAAGATTACTGCGAAAACGGCGGTAAATGTGAAATTCCACAAAACGCTATTGAGCCACGCTGTGTCTGTCACGGCAACTTCTATGGTGAACGCTGCGAAAGAAAGTCGGACTTTGTTTACGTCGCCGGCGGAATTACGGCTGCTGTCGTATTTATCATCGTCATGGTGCTTCTTATCTGGATGATTTGCGTCAGGTACGCACAAACAGCTGTTAACTATTTAATTGCGATCGTCGCAAGATACACGAAACGAATGAGTTCGAAGCTGACGGCAAAGGCATGTAGTCGTCAATGTAGCCCTGGTGCGTTCTATGTACTAAGTCTAATGCGGTGTCTGACTATCATCGTTTATTTTCTAGGGTCTCGTTGTTTGATTTTCGTCGAGGCCTTTGACGATATTAAAGGGTTCAATTCAGAGCTCATAGTGGCTTTTTGGAACACATTAGTTTGATTTGTCCGTGTTGCGCTGCTCCATTTTTCTAGGAAAAGACCGTCTGTTGTCAACTCAACAACCTCTATTGTCACCTGTACATATTCGTTGCGTTTAGATGACTAGCAATATGACTCAATGTTTATTTTTCATTAAGGAAAATGATATTATTAGCCACCATTGGAAATAACATAATTAGAACGAACCATGTGTCTCTACAAATACACACGGTCACCTAATACATAATAATGAATGGTCGTTGAAGATATTGTCACCTTCCAGCGTTGACTAAAGGAAATGAAATACACCAGTATACGAAAATATCGTGTACGTGTCAGCTTTGATTTCAGTAATCTTTTAAATTGTTATGACTGTTACTTCTTCAAGTGCCGGAATGACTGAAGCGTAATTTCACTGTTAATATACGTGGCCTTGATTGGTCGAACCACGCTTCTCGCATTCGAGGATAACTGCTACTCAAAGAGAAGATTTGTTAATTTCAAAGACGTAGCTTGCAAGACTCAATGAAGACTAAATTATATCTATACGCTTTGTCACCGAAAATAGCGCTAGTTCGGATTTCATTAGGTTAGCCCCAAGAACAGCCGTCACAAATTCCACGGAAAGGTTGTGAAATTGTGCTTTTTTTTTTATTGATCAAAGCACCGTCTTTTGAAGGGTTCTTCTTTTATTTTTATCTATATTTTTACACATATTGTTATTATTTTTATATTTATTATCTCTCGACTTCCACGTTATGTTCGAAAATGGAAGTAATGAAATGAGATTTTCTCCTGTAAAGAAAAAGCGGTGGTACATGCTTTAATGTGAATTCTTACAAAAAATACAAATGCTCGATTAATCGTTTGTCCGCTGAGTAGCTAACGAAAAAAAATCTTAATTTATACCAAGCTTCAAATGAAGCTGTACTTAACTTTAAGGTTCAGTATTACACAACAATGTAACAGTATCGTACTACGTCAATAGACGCCTTGGTACACGCTAATATCTTTAACTGCGTCTTTACAATCTACCTACGATGGTAAGATTTAAAAAAAAACATCTTAGCACACGAAAAATGGTGCTTCGTGTATCCTCTTCATGTGTTTTATAGTAAATATTGTTTGGGCACTTTGCAGATTATTCCATCGAATATCAAAATACCTCGAACCCTGCACGATGAAAAGTCCTTTACTGTGCAATCCTGTTCTAGAAGTTCTCTAAAACAGATGTGTTAAATTTATTTCCACCTTCGACCCCCGTACCTAATACATTCATCTTTCAAAAATTTACGTCACTCATGCTCTGTTGCCTCAGGCTAAATTCTGGGAACGTTTTGAGTTTTACGTCCGATACGACCTTTGTTAAGCATTATTGCCTCGTACGGCTAACGGCACGATACGACCTATGTCCATGCGGAGTATGAAACCTAAACTGCCCCCTAAATCCATCGATGTTGTAGTGACATTAAGATCGTTAACGGAATTGGCTATTTATTAAAAAGTCCCCAAAAGATGAGAGACAAAGGACAATTCTTTTGGGGACCAATATAAGTATGCCATCTTCGTTACATCATCTTCAAACTGTCTGTTGCTTACCATCTTTCTATAAAATATAAAAATTATTTTAAAAAATATTTTCTGTTTTGCTGTGCATTTCCATGCATTCAGTTGCTTTTCTTTTAGAGACCGATCGTAACACCCGTATGTACGAAGCCTGTATTTTGCGCCTGTTTTTCCTCTTCTAATGCTCGAGTATCCATTCAATAGAGGCGAGCAAACGTTGTCGTTGTTTTGTTGCTGTACTCACATTGATAGCTCTGTAGGGACATTTCCTGACTTTCTTTCATGAGCCGTGCTACCGATTGATAATTCTGTTTTCTTCTGTTCTGATCGGTGAATCAGTGGTCCTACTCGGCTTGTTTCGCCGTCTTCCACGAACTGCACTAGCTGATTTCATGGCTGAGCGGTAGCCATGTATGTGGGCTCTGCTATCGTTAGCTACTAAATTCGTACATTAATGCGTTTATATAGGCGAGCAGTGCTATAAGAATGCGATAATTATTCAGCCTTGCTGCTCATACTGTAATTGGCGTGTGTCTAACGAAATACACGATCTTACGTAGATAATAGTGTTAGAACACATCGTTATTCTTTGCCTATCGCGATTGATAATTATGATAATTGGGGTAACGTAGCTTAACAGTCTGCTGATTTCGATGTAAATATATATATATATATATATATATATATATATACTTAATCAATGCGATGCTCGGGAAGCTTGTAATAATACTTTACTCGATTGATTTGCAGAATGAGTTGGCGCGGCAAACCTGGCAAGATGCCACTCCCACCTGCAATGGACCTAGCTGGTTCTCAACAGAACTTCTACTATGGTGCACCAGCGCCGTACGCGGAAAGCATCGCTCCATCACATCATTCGACCTACGCTCATTACTACGACGACGAAGATGACGGCACGTGTTTTCCACAAATTGCACAAAAACAACACCATCCACCGTAACTTCTTTCCTCTTCATCGTTACTTTGGGGGCGTCCACCCCCTACTGGTGGTAACCGGCCCTTCCACAACAGCTTTGCAACCTCTTTCTCCTACTTTCATTTATCATGACGCCACATATTCCTTTTCGTGTCCTCTTTTGCTTTCTTTCATAAATACACCCATCCGTGTATATCCGTTCGCTTGTTCATCGAGTGATTCATTCTTAAATCTCCTATTCTTTCTTATCATTTATAGTCATCTACCATTATAAGCAATATTATTGTACTATTAACGCCTTCTACTTTTTCTTGTTTGGTCCTCTTCTCCTCAGTCTACTCAATCGAAATTTGGCTAAGCGGAATCGATTGAACTCGTCCTATCAGTCAGTGTACATCCTACAAATACATATGTACTACATATAACCTCTGTAGTTCTACCGACGTATTCGTATATATTATTGACGGCTATCATTCAAATGATCAAAATATTCCATCATTTTATTCGCGCCAATGTAGTACGTCAGTTTAGCGGAAGTGATCATCATCAACATGAACTTGTTGGCCTAACTTTGTGTGTGCGAAAGATGCGTAAACATGGTTCCTTCGCCTTTAAAGAAGCAATTCAATACTTACGCTGGTCTTATTCTATAATACGGCAAAATGACGACTAGGGAAGGCCTATGATCTGTGATACAGTAAAAGCTACTTTTTGTGCTTACCCTTTGGAATTGATTGATCTCGATGTGAGTGAACGCCTATAAAGTTAGTTGATTATTTACATGAGCACCTTTTTTTTTTTTTTTTTTTTTTATAGTCCAAGTTACAGTTAAGTTTTAAGATTACGTTTCAGAACGTTACTATCTTGAAACTTGGTAAATACAAAAAAAATTACCTTTAGACTAACTGTTTCATTGCAAATTGCCTTTAGGTTGGGAAATGCCAAACTTCTACAACGAAACTTACATGAAGGATGGCCTTCACAAAGGCGGCACTTTGGCGCGAAGTAACGCTAGTCTATATGGAACGAAAGAGGACCTCTACGACCGTCTGCGAAGACATCAGTATACTGGACACAAGAAAGGTAAACAATTCTATCCGCAGTTAAACTATTCTTTGTCGGGTGTCTTTTCGACATAGATAGGAAATAACTTTTACAGTTAAATAGTTAAAGATGGTGCATTATATATGATAATATTATATTCTTTGTTTTACGTTTTTGTTACTGTTTGTTTTTCCTTCGTTTACAGATAGCGACACAGAAGATCCTACGTCGTAAAGCTACAAAGGCACACTTCTTCATATCGCAAAAGCATCCCGTCGTTAATGTACCACGATGGCTAGATGATTATTACCAATATTCTTTTTGTATTAATTTGTATGTGTTTTACTGCGATTTTTCATGCTTTACTCGCATTATTATTATTATTTTTAGACGTAATAGAATAGAAAAGTAGCGTAGTGTTTTAAATGCCAAGCAAGACGCTTGTGGATGATTTACCTTCGCCGGTACCAAGTCATCTGCGGCCATTTTGAGTCAATTTTGAGCAGGAACGAGCCAGCTACTTGTGGACGCTGTAGATAACATTTAGTAGCCTGATCCCCTGAAGGTGGCCTAGTTCCGTTCTCCCTTGTAAAAAGAATTCTCCCCCTTGCACATTTCTCGGACCCCAACCCTCGCTCCCTTCTGTAGTCGTCATTTATACCGCCGCCATCTCAGCACCATCTCCATAACACCTTCGCAATTTATCTGTGTGGACTAGTAATTAGTCAGTGTGTAATATTCTAACGGGCGGCAGTCAGCTACCAGTCGAATCGAATGATATCTGTCATTGTATTGTAAATCAGCAACTTTTTAGCAGCCGTATTTTTAAATACAACTGTTCGATAATAGTATATTGATAATAAAAGTTCTATTATCGAACAAGAAAGAACAAGGTGATATGACATAATACTGACGGTGAGGGCATAGGGTTGGGTTCTAACATCTGTTTAAAGACGTTAGAGTTGACTAACTTATTGGAGGAAAGTGACATCTACGGTTAACTGCATTACTACCAGGATCTCCCTTTCTGGTAACAAACATATTTATCCACGCAAACGCAACAGGCGCTAGCACGCTTTCGTACGGAGAAACCAAGAAGTCTGGTGACTGTGTGAATCAATCGGCTTGGTTAGCAGAGCGGAGATCCTTCATAATACTGATGGAAGCATATGTCATCGACGAAGTGGCGACGTCCTCCCGCCATCGAGCACTTGCTCAACAATGACAGCGATCGATTTATACGATTTTCTTCCGAGGCATAATTTGATGTCAACTTGATTTTGGTCACAAAAGTAGTCTAGGAAGGCAAATGTTTATTGACAATTTAGATGTAAAACTTATTATTATATTTAAGAAAAATAAGGATGAAAAATTATAAAACATTAAAAACATCTAACATACAGATAGACTAAGTTTGGTAATCACACCGATCGTTCCATTTATCGGTGGAACGCTATTTATCAATCGATAAATTCACCTGTACTAATAACAGTCTTCGAATCATTTACCTAACTAATTCGGTAGATTTATTTTTAACCTTTAAAATAACTTTCTCTTTTTTTTTTTTTTTTAATATATGTACGCGTGTTTATAGCAAAAAAAAAAGCTGACCCCCTTGAGGAAACCGCAAGCCATTTCAATCACCCATTAAATACAGTAAATACTTAACTGAATCCTTTTTTTTTTTAATTGTTTAGTATTATTATAGTGTAATGCTTGCGAATGAATGAATTATTTTGGTTGTCCGAGTGAAATGATTGGATGATTTCAAGAGTAACAAGTCGGAATCAATCGGAAATTATGGTAGTAATATATAGGTTTTAAGCTCTTCGAAAATGATAATTATTCATTCAGTTAAGCTTCGCACATATAAACAGTTACTTATTATTCCGGCGCGTTCATCAGTTGTTGTAATGAAAGGCAGTATTATTACTACTGTTTATTTACCTATTTATTATTAGAGGGTTGTCATCACTGAAGCAAAAAATGAAATAACTGCTAAATAACGGAGGAAAATCAGTAACACCTTACTACACCGGTAGACATCGCGCGACCAGGTTATTAAATACCTAGATACACACCCGATAGGATTCACTGTCCGACGACGATAACAGCTAACGCGCGAATTTTTGCCCCTTTTAGGCAATGATGCGATTTCTAAGTTATAGTACGTTTTGCCAATTCCAAACTTTATTACCATACACGTGCCTGAGAGAGAGAACGTCACACGAATCGGTAGGCCGTGCCGACGCATAATACTCGCTTGTAGATTTCTTTCCCTTTCGTGTTTATACGCGAACGAGGGAAACGGATCGTTAAGGAACGCCAACTGAAGTACTATTATAATATAAGGAATGATATACGCACGAAGAGTATAGAATAAGACCGAGCAAAAGACTAACGATGAAGAACGCCGATCGCGTGGTTTCAAGGTCTTGAATGCGGTGAGACGATACATAATACGATTATTGTATTCCAAAAGTAGAAGGCTATGGGGTAATACTGCAATTTTTCGGGGAATATTGATTTATTACGGCGTTGACGTATCAATGTTTAGTGATGAGAAAGGACAGACAACTAGATATTCGAGATGATGTAGCCCTGTGGTTTTGCTCATGGATAACTGCTCATATCTACGTCCCAATGCTCTCTGTTCTACAATTATCTGCCGACTCCGTTCTGAGGCCATTAATAAGGGCCTGATACATAAATAACAAACATATTGGAAAAATATGTTTCTATGGTCTTTCAACTATTAATACTCGTTCAGTTATTGTTTTTGTTCACCCTCAGCTTTCTCGTTTCTCTTCGGTACTTGTCTTCCTTATAAACTTCTGTATGTAACGATATAGCTTCTTTTTCCCGAATAATCCAAATGATGAATAAAAAGCGGATGAATACTGAAAGATTGACGGCAATAAATAAATAAATATGAAGTTCGTATAATTTGCAATGTTTTTTCACTCACTAATAGTTAATAATAACTAACGACTTGTTTATAATATTTAGTGAATAATTAGCGGTATCTTAAGAGCAATGTATTTATGTGAATGATGGATGACGACCGTTCTACATGCGACGGCATATTCAAATAAATAAAAGCAAAACAGGCAAGGTGGGTATTCCCCTTACGTGATACCTCAGCAAGTGTACGCTATTTTTTTTTTTTTATCAGTAACACCTTTCCAGCATAGTTCGAGCGTATTTGGTAATAACAGGATGATTCATTGAGTGGCCGCCTTAACCTTTTATATAATAAATGTAATTAAAAAGTTTAACAATCCTACCGCTGACTGTAGTCGCGCGACTGTTGTAGAGCGTATCATTAGTCCTAGCAAAGAATGCGGGGAACCCACCGTGAACGCTTTCCGAAAAGGGAGACATTTTGTATCTAAGAAAAAAGGCCAGAGTGATAAGAAATACCTTGTTGTCGATGAGAAACGTAGAGATCTGTCGTTATCCGCGCATTCTGTCTCTGATGAGGGGTTTTCCAATTCCCATTTTAACATGAAACAAGTCAATGTGTAATAACACGAATCTTAATCGTTGTGTATTTAAGGTAGTAAACAGTATAGCCACTGCACTTAAGGTCGTATTAGCGGGACTTGCTAGAGCAATCTATCATTTAGATCCCGAGGGGCTTTTGTTGACACGTTGTCCAAGTTTATTAAGTTTATCTTAGAGGAAGTCAAGATATGGTACTTGAAGTGACAGTAAGGGATAGTTCAGGTTCATATATACGAAAAATCACCCGCCTTCGAGGGTAAATCGCTCATGGGCTAGATATTTGAATTACCTGTACATGCGATCAGATGCCAATGTGACCCTTTATGCCATCATAATAAAATATGCAATTTCAAATGCGTCGAGAACATTGGTCGTGGCAAATGGTTAAGGTGGATCATAAGATTTACTTGATCTCATATTGTTCCATCAACGTGCACTCATCTGGCAGGAATAAAACAATGCATACGCTTAGTGAGCGTACTCAACGCTCGTACACGCCACTCTCCGAAACCATGTTCAAGATGTTTTCTTTTTCTTTTTCAATAGTATTCCAATGAACGATATAGAAACAGTATTTGAATAGCTCATTCAACATGTAAATCACTATGTTTTCTTAGAGAAGGGACGTACTCGGTACACCGTTATTTCCTTAGGTTCTCAAAAAAATGTTCGCCTTTGAAAAATAACGACACTCTACTACGTTATGTTAAACGAACTCAGTGCGAAGTTGGTTGCACGACAGGGGGTGTATGACGGTTACTATTAAGCATGTTTATCTCGGCGCGTGGTTTGAACAAGCGCTATATCTCAGCGCTGCTTAATGTTCCATTTTTTCTTCTAACTTGTATTTAAGTTAATGTATAGCTCAAAAGAAAAGCTGCTGCTCGCATAGAGAAATTTTTTTTCCAAAAACCAGTTTTCACATCTATAGCGCTTTTGCTATTGATGTATTTGTATTCCTTTAGAGTACATCTTAGTAAAGGTCTAACATCGATTCTTTTGAAAGAATGTTTAGGGGAATACGCCCTACCTTTCATTGCATAAAGTAGTCTGTATGATGATTTCTGATATGTCGGAAGTTTTCAAGTAACAGCTACCGAGAAAGCCTTCTCACAGTAGAAGAACGTTAAGGAATAAAAGAATCATCGCTTCCTTACGGCAGCCTGTTTTCGATCTGTGGAACAACGACGCCGCAGCCGGTGCTCTTCCAGCGCCCCGTATAACTTTCCTACCGAGCGCTTACCGCCGTTGCTTTTAGTGGGGTATCGAAGACATCTCCTCGCCTCTTCGGTTACTACGACAAGACCCTTTCCTCCAGATTAGCCGCGCGCGGCAGGAGGCTTGCACAGTCGATGCATCGAACAACAGCACCAGCAGCCAGATCTATTATAGATAGATTGTTGGTGATTGAGGCCAAGACCAGGAAGTTCGATGCGGCAGTGCGTGCATGAACTTCACAGATTTCGTGTGTGCATAACTCGTAGAGTTCAGATAGATCGCTCCACGGATTTGTCAGATATACAGCATACAACAGTTGACCCTCATCAGTACTCGTCAGTGCTCAAAACGGTGTAGAGATTATTCAATAGCGCTTGTTTCTTCCTGACTGGTGCTCAATATGCGGTGGCTTTACCCCACAATAGTGTGCCTTCTAATCAGTATTGGGGTTTCCCAAGATACCGAGGATACGGCTCAAGTAACGAGGGAGATGGAAGACGCTAACACAGAATTTAAAGAGACGACAACGATAGATCCAGGTCCAGATCCAGCAAACCCATTCAAATATTATGCCGAAAGGCAGGAAAAGTTCATCAAAGCTGTGTCGAGTGATGTAATGGAGTATGTCGCCCCGCACTTCATAAAAAATCTTCATGAGTTAAACATTACCGGAGACTGTACATACGGACTGCTTAAATTCTTGTTCGGCCTTAAAAAATTTAGGCCTTGGTCTATCCAGAGTAAGTCTGCCGCCCTTCATATATTTCAATATAGTGCAAAAGAGCCTTTCAACTGATTTAGTAGCAGGTATAGGATCCGTCGCTCTAAGTTAACATAGAAGCCTATTGTCTGCGGTGCCATTCAATGTGTTACACTACACAAAGCATTTGATTTTGCTTCCTGGACAAGATGACTGTCATAGACTTTTAAATAAAATTTACGCATTTTGCACGTATCTTCTCATCGAGTTGTGGCACGCATAAAAATGGCCTTCAGATTTTGCCGCATTTATAAACATTCAAAAAACAGTTTGAAACGGATCTCAAAAAACTTTTGTTATATGCTTAACGTGGCAGATGGCATTTATATATATACACACACCTATATATATATATAGTAATTAGGGTCTTTTTTCAGTTAGTTGGTAACTGATCTCTAACCAGTTCCAAGAGAAGTCAGGAAAAAATACATCGTCAATTTCTGTACGGAATAATTTTAGCGGAGGCATTGAGATTAAATTAAGTTTGATAATAGTGACTGCGATCTACAGTGACTAGGTAGTGCTCAGGCCTAATCATGTTCAGCATTTGGCCTTCGAAATATAAAACGACATTTCCAGAATGGGGTAACGTATACTATGATATTTATAATACATGGAAACAAGCAAATTCCATCCGTAGAATATACGGTACCGGCTTAATCAACAGCTGACACTGCAATGCTTCGCCGATTAACAAGTTTTAAGCTCTTATTTAACAGACTAACGTTTATTAAACATTCAGTTGGGATGTTCTGTTTTCTGAAAGCGGGAATATCTTCAGCATCAGTGGTCATCGGCTTGAATAACTGAGATCTGGTGACTGACCGAGACACTGGCGAGTACGATTGATCTGCACCAAGCCGAGATCCTTGGCGTCGAAAGTGACTCTGCAGGCAACCATCAACTATCCAAGTAGTAGACGAAGTTAAAAGGAGGAAACCATTTGAAAAATGCCTGTTTCGTATACATATACGAGTAGCATAACATACAAACGCTCGATGGTCTGCTGCCCTTTGACGTCGAGTATTGCCCTCGGAAGTATAGAGTGTTACCGTTTGTTGTTATTAATCAACGAGAGATTCATTCAATTTAATTTATTATCTAAATACTTATAAAGCGAATAATCTTAATATTTGAAACGTGAATCAGGCATCCCTGATCCCACTTATACTTTTAGTCCAAATACTGTTAACTTTCGTTGCATTATATTTATATTCGGATACTTAGCGCTTTTTCGCCTCGATTGTAAGGGGGCCAGACTGGACAGACTTCCGGCTCATGCATTACCTGCTTTCAACTATCGACGCGCTTGTTGGACTCCGACGACACCTTTCTCATAATTCATTTCGGGTGTCACAGGGTCGGCAATTTCTACTTATTATACCTACATGTATGCTAACAAATAAGAATTTATTCAGTTATTACTATCCAGTTTGCCAAACCCTCTTTATGATACGGTCACAATCTGCCTGCCGCTTTGAGAAATCAATTAGCTTGGCTTTTTTTCCGACTTGTCGCTCTATAGAAATTTGTTGTTGTCGGAATCTGTTGAGTTAGATTTCCGATTTGGACGACGTCACCCTTCAGTAGAGTTGAGGAACTCTTTTCTCGCAGTGGGTAGATATTTTCTGTTTAATTTTAATAGTGTAGGGGTTTCGTATATAAGCTACCCTACCTTAGCAGGTGGACAATCATCGGATTTGCTCAAACGAGGAAATAGATGACAGTCGATGGATAAGATTGTGTTCAATTGCGCTGGTACCTGACAGATCTAGCATAGATATTCTTGCACCTACTAGTTCAATGCCATTTTTGCTCATCTTTGAGAAGGTCCTCGAGTGTTTTCACGATGGTAATTTGTAAACTTCTATTCGATTTTCAGAGCTTTCTTTACATTTGGATTATAACATATATTTGTGTTAAGTTACGAATTATTTTCAGACACAACGTCATTGATTCTATACTGCCATAAAAATCGACAATTCTGCGAGTCAACTCGTATCAAGTTCAACGTTCGTAAGCGTTATAGGGCTATAGTTGTGGTTGTTATATATAAACGCTATATTGTTTTTCGAAGATGTCACAAATTCGGTGCCCAGTGAGCCATCATTGACCGGCTAGCCCAAAGGCCACGTGTTTGAGTAACTTGACAAGTTATCAAACTCTAGTCAACGATTTACAAACGTCTTCTATTATTTAGCAGGATGTTTTAATTTAGCTTTGTCTATAAGCCTCCTGTGGTATTAAAAAAAAAACTGTCAAACGATTCCCGTTATAGTGAGCGTTTCTATCAACGTAGAACAGTCGTAATAATATTAATAATCACAGGAATGAGTATTCTGGGTGATCTCGTAAATTTTGCCCGGTATATAAATTATATAGACCCATATGTGTTTATATCAGATATTATAGTTGTACAAGCATAAAAACGTACTGCTGCAAACGCTTTGAACTCCCTTTCAGGAAACAAAATAAGCGCATTGAAGTTCGTCTTTGTCTGACGCAGTGAGTTCCATAGCGTGTGTAACCCCAGAAATATTCAGAAGCAATAGTATGAACATGTCACCAAAAGCTTGTTATTTATTCATTTTTTTATTAGTGCTTTTGACACTGATCCGACATCATTTCGAGTTCCGTCAGACATAAGACAACGACTTTATTCGCAAACGCTGTTTATTATTGCAGTGCGTTTAAACGACAACAAAGTAAAGTACGTATTTATACTATAATGCTCTATGTTCCATCCCCAGCTTAAATCCCTCCAATCAAATAAACAGTGGTCCTTGAAGCTTAAATTTGTTACTTCATCGCTGGGATATTTAGCCTATATCTTCTTTTGTACCTATACCTGGGTCGTTGCGGATCTGCTGTTTTTTAGGTCGAAGCTAACACTCGGAAAGCGTAGTGTTGCATACTGAAACAAAAACAAAAATATCTTTAACAGGGAGTAGAGGAACACAAGCGGCTACTGTTTGGCATAAAGAAGAGCTCTTTTCTATTTGATCGACGATGTCCAAATGAAAAAAAAAAAGCAGACGCAATAGCAAGCAATGACACAGAGCCAAGAAGATAAAGTGGTGTTTTCTCTGTCCCGAGGAGAATGAAAGAAAAAACAGACGGAAATTTACATTCGACATTGTGCTATGTAGAATTCGCAGCGGATATTAGCGGATATAGTTAATGAAAATTTACTGTCCCAACGAGCTACGCCATCTTGCCACGGCGGCGGCGGCGGCGGCGGCGTTCTTGCGGCAATCTGCTCATTGAGTGCGATGTTAGACAATAAATATTTTTACGGAAGCGTATTTTCATCATCTACCCATATTCAGTCGCCATCGTAACAAGGTTTTGGTATCTAAGTTAGTTGAAAAACATGTAATGGTGGTTGATTGAGGAAGAAGGTTCGAAAACCTGGTCTCGTCTTATTGCTGTTTAATGGAAATTCATTAAAGCTGTTGGTTATACCAAAATGCTTGCGGATCCTTTTGCCCTTGAACAGCGTTTGATACCTTCCAGTCGAATTTAGAAGGCTTCGAGTCCTAGTACTGTGGCCAAAAAAATCGCCAGATTATACGTTAAAGTAAACACTACTACAAGGTGCGAAGTTATTATTTACCGTACACATATATATATATATATATACATCACGCTTTTCATGGATATATAAATGCCATGCGAAAACTATTTGCTAACAGATTTATTAACTTAAAGTCCAGCCGAGCTCTAAATCTACTTGCGTATATATATATATATATATATGCCAAACTAGATTTCATTTTGCCCTGTGCGCCTTGATAGCTATGTCGTTGGAAATAACTTATGACATCAATGTCCAAGGTACACACATTACTTGTTATATTGTATAATTATATACAGAACTTACGGATAAACCCAGTAATATAAATGCAGATATGAGTGCCTGTAAGGTGTTTACATCCGCATTTTATTTCGTAATCTAATCGGCCTCTTCCTGATGTCATGCGATTATTACATGCATAACCTGTGTAATAGGCCAAGAAGTCACTGTGAAGGCGGTAACGAAGGATGTGTTCTGCTTGGCAGGTGAATAGTTTCCGAGCTTTATTTCAAATGCCACATTAATCAAATAGAATCGTGCCATTTTATAGGTATTAGTGTGCTTGGCCTGACTGATGGGTATTTCCCGAAAATGAAAGCGTGCCACAACGTGGGCACGAGTTTAAAGAGCGATAAAACAATCAAATAGATTTATGTATACCGACTAACGTCCTTTGTTCTCTTCTTTGTTTTTTCCTCATTGGCCCTGTGTTTGGTTTCCCAATACCCCACATCTCTATATTTGTGTTCGGTTTCACACAAGAGAAGAGAATTTGGTCGATGATGGGGCTGCATCATCTTTCGTTACCACCTTTTAGCTCCGTAGAAAAAACCGAAGTCAGTTCTGGCCCATGTACTGCCGCTGGTGACTTGTAGCTATTTGAGGTAGCTCGGGAGGTGAATATGTTGGGTCCGTAGTAGCACATAAATGTGCCTTATATGTCGTTATTAATTATACTTAATTAGCGTTTCATTTCGGTTAAAATAGGCGCATGCCGTATGGCTGATTGTACTTGTAGCAATCAAAACTTCGTAAGACAAATAGAAACTATAACAACTATTAGTTGAGACACTTTAGAGATACTGTGTCCGAACGCCCTAGACGGTAGCGCCTAATGCACGAGTACTCACAAAGTTCGGAACGTTAAACCAATCCGCTCTGTGATAAGAAAGTGTATTTAAGCTAGACGAAGACTATGCTTTTTGGAACGTTTTTTTTTAAAGAATACCTCTGAATACGCAGAAGTATCTCTGAGCCGAAGATAACGAAACCTATAATTAAATACGCTTTCTACAGAAAGAGATACAGTGTTATGTATCGAATCACTAAAAAGCGCGTTTCGTAATCAAAACGATGCTTAAATTAGAATCGGCTCGCCCGATTGACTTAAATAATTACGCAAT